TTGCTCAACCGGTGTGTTTAAAACTAATTCGGTGCGGGGACACCCACCGACTTCGTTATTCAGAGCTTTACGGATCAATCGGCACGCCGATAAAACATGGTTTTATTTTTGCCAGGGATAGGGACACCATTCATGTCGTTATAACTTTCGGAGTTACTCTTAAGAATCAACTAACTAGCTAGTGAAAGTGTGATGATTTGGTCGAAATAGTGTTTCTCCCCTCTCCTTTGGTCTTTTCTTAAGATCATAGGAAATTTGAAGCTGCGTGTGGGAATCATATTCGGTTAGAAGATGCATGTGCCTCTATCTCTATCGCCACAAGGCTAGGATCAAATTATAGATTCAACCCAATTTATACAGCCCCCACCTGTTACATGTTCAAAACTCTTTGTTCCACCTCCTTCTCGTTAATTCTCACACCTCCATAATACAAGTGTGATTTTCCGGACTAATAGCATACGAAGCAAGTCGTAAAGGTAATTCTTGTGAGGCGATCCCCCTCACCACTTCATGCACTTGTGACCATCGAGACCACTCAAAGATCGGCCCCAAGTCTAGGTCTTCAGCCGCTTCTGCACGTTGAGGCTATAAAAGGGAATTATACTCCTATAGTTATCAAAAATAGAAGTCCCTTCAAATAAAACCTATCCCCTCAAATCTTTAGGTTAGGAAAGTTCAATTTCCGAGGTGATATGATCATGGTCAATGATGTGGGGCATTTGCAACCAGGGTTAGGTTTTCAGATGTTGAGGTTAGGGTTCTGTATTCTCGTTTTACCTCGCCATTTTGTATGGGCGGGTTTTGCAACAAAGTTATGAGAATGCCATAATTATAGCTAGCCTAACCAGAGCTAGTTTAGGCAATCCCAAATAGGGCATGATACTCTCTAAAACTGATGGATGAAAGTCAGAAAATGCAGAGAATATAAAAAAGTGGCAGCATAGAGAAGCTCAGAATCTAAAGGAGAATACATCTGTAAGGTTACTTCATGCTTCTTTGGAATGTTTTTCTATGTTGCACTCTCTCAACAGCAGCCATAGAGGCAACTCCGGGAACCTGTATAATAACAGCACTATTTCGCAATTTACAAAATAATGGACAGTCCCCACCTCTCCCTATGATTTTCTCCCATTGGCTGCCTGGAGTAGCCCACAGCGCACCCACCAATCACACATCTTCCCTCATAATTATGATGCAAAATCCGCCCTATTGAACTCTAGTGGTGATTGGCGAGGCTTGGCGGTTTTTACTAACAAATCGAAAAGTAGATCTGGTTTTAAGAGCCAAGCTTCACCATACACTCCCCTTCGGAGAGGGGGGTACGAGTTTGTTCAATCAATTGCAAGCCTAGGTGCAAATAGCAGCTTTATATTATGTAATTATATTTGTGGGCACATCACAGTTTATCCCAGGAGCTTGTGCTAGGGATAAGCCTTTTCAAGCCCACTAGCTTAATCCTGTTTCTTGGCTATTATCAAGCTACAGTCGCCCGCTGTTGTAATGAACGCTCCTATACCGAATATCTGCTGTATCGAACCACTTGGGCTGGCTTTTTCCTACCCTAGCAAAGAGTTTGGTCTGCTGTACTGAACAATCTGCTATACCGAGCGGAAAGGTGCTCAATATGCACGTTCGTTATAGCGGCGGGCAACTGTGCTCGTAGGGGATGGGCACACTACAGTCGCCCTCCGTTATAACGAACCTGCATATTCGAAAACTTCTCGTTCGATACAGCAGGCAAAATTCCATCATTTTCTATGTGAAATTCAGATTTGGATCACCAAAACCCGTTCGTTATAGCAGATTTGTGACTTTTTTGGCATTCGGAGGCCAACTGTACTCTACATGTACTAAGCTGATTATTCCCCTTATCATATTAGTTGTTTCTTTCTGGTGAGGTACAAATACTGACAATTGCCTTGTCCAGGATATTTTTATGGACATCTAAAGATCAGAATATGCGATATAATTCCACTGCTAACATATGGGGGAGTTTCAATGTGGTTGGCTGAACAATTGAAACCTCGACCAACCTATAAAAACCTATCTAGCAAAGCTTAGTTGATCCAGGCCTACGTACGGCATGTGGCTTTTGAGTCAAAAACGACGTACATATTGTAGGAATCGACTCATCTATCTAGAAATCATTTGATCGGGCATCATAAGTATATTCGGCTTTGCGACAGCGAATTGACACAAATCATTCCCGAGCCCTGCAAGATATAACCAATACACATAGATAATATCAAGACTTTATCTCCCGTCCTGTACCTTCCTTTTCTATACTATCCTCTGTGGCCTGTTGTCCCTAGAGGACCACGAGAGGCACTAATAGTACTCAAAGACCGTAGTTGTCCAATGGATGGAGTTTGTCAAGTGGGTGGACCCTGTCAAGACAAACCCTGGAGGATTTTTCCCAGGTCCCATAGACTTCACAGGTCTCAAAGCTTAGCTCATATGTGTTTAGTTTCTGTGAAATTTTCAGGCTTAACAAGAGAAGATAATATGGAGAAAACGAGAGATCCTCAAATGGCAAAGCGAGGACCTGAGGTTCCTCGAAATCAGTACAGCTGGTTGGTCTTGACAAGCTGTCCTATTCACTTCACAAAATCCACGAACCTGACCGACCACAGGCTTTGAGTGCCACTACTGACAAAACCCCCAGGGTTCTTCGTCATCTAACTGAGAACTATCAAGACTCATTAATCGATTAAGGACTCAAAGTATTGTGGGGAATAGGATGATAGTTTTCAATGACAGAGTCCACCAATGCTAGTTAGCTTCTTCTATTATCGTATTCAAACCGTCCTTTTAGGTTATAACTAAATTCGTCCAAGGAATAAACATGTATTGGTGGAAGATCTATTTGGCCCCCCACCGGTCCTACCTAAACTACTAAATTTCCTGCTTATAGGCGACTCTTCAACTGTGCTCAACCGAACCCCCCCCCCCCCCCCCCCGCGGGAATCCAGACAACTAAAGTGGGAAATATAACACCTACCTACGTTACAAATACTCTCAGGACTTCCTGAATTGATATTCCTCATAGATCGTGGTTTATCCGAGTGGGTGTATATGAGTAAATGATAAAAGCGACCAAGTTTAACCAAAACGCTCTGAACCCCAAGAACCGCGAGGAAAAGTATTCATGGGAATAGCTGGGAAATCCTTTTCTCTGCTGATACAGAATATATTCCAGGCTTATTCTGAGTCAGTGGCTCCATATACCTCTATTAAGTTCAGCCAATCGAATTATATGAAGATGTTGCTCTTCTTCTCGGTGAATGATTTCTGCATGGCATTTGATAGGCCCGTTAATAAAACTAGCTTGTTGCCGCGATATTATTCGAGGATCTCAGCGACTCCTTAAGCAAGAATATTATTGTTTAGCTCGCGACACCAGAATTATTTACCCTAAACCTGATTTATTACCAGCAGCGGTTTTTAGGTTGGAACATTCACGTCCTGAATCCCGCCCAGAAAATGAGGCCTGGAAAGAGTGTACGCGTATCATAGGATAGCCAGGAACAGTAAGGGTGCTCAAGGTCGGGCCTCGGGGAAAATGAAGGGAACGGGGGCTCAGGGTTAGCCTTGTGGAGCTAGAAGGGGGCTCAAAGACAGAAACCTACATGCAGCTGAGAGATATCCCACCCCTAGTGCTCCTCCCGCCGCTGTCCTCCATTCAAGTTATAATACTAGGCCCGGGCACAAGACTACACCAATGCATCTATCTATGAATCCATCAATCTAATCTACGAATCTACCCAAGAAGCTCAAATTCTCCGCTACAAACCTTTGGGGGCTCTACCATCTAGACCACCCTACCAAGGAACCCTGAGGCCCTGTTGTTATCGACACAAGACTGTATGGATTCTGTCTACAGGTGAGCAAATCAGCCACTATCCACTACTGATAACCCCAATCCAAGACTAAACCCTCAAACCCCATAACTAGAACAACCACTATTTTTACAACCACCGTAACCTACCACGTCACTCTAACCCTGTTTTTGTGGTCTTCCCCACGGGCAAAGGACCCTCGGCGATGACGGAATTGGCGAGGGAAAATTGCCGGTTTTACCACGATGGTGATCACCTCGTCATACGACACGGCTCCAAAAAAAAAAAAAATTCAAGGCCCCCGGCGTACTTTTGCCTCGCTCGAGAAATCTTGCGCGGAGAGTTGTGGTTTTGCAAAAACAAAACCGCTCGGCTGTTGATGTTGGTGTTAATCCCATCACTCGTTGCCAAGACCGAGTGACGTTTAAGCGCTGGCTGGAGAATAAACGATTGCCTGGCTCACGGCGTGACAACAATCTGAAACCCTAGCCCCTAGGGCATCCCCCCGAGCGAGTCTTAGCTCCATCTCACTAAACGTTATCTGCGCCTCGTGGCCAATCTAAGGCAATGCGCAAATAACCCAACGTCAACTCGCCAACGGTGTGGGAACCAAAAAACGATATTCACAACTAACAACGCAAGCACATATATTTTTGTGTAAAATTGATTTCTTTTTTTTTTGCACGATAAAGAATAAAGTACACAGGCAAAAAAAAAACCAGAACATTGGAGAGAAAAAGAACAAAGCCGCCCCGCCTTTCCCAGAAACCCCACAAAGAACCCAGTTCACTTTCATTTCCATATCAACTACTACCCTGTATAACTCAGGGCGCGATATAATCACGAGAACGAAAAGTGTCAATGAAAAATCACCAGAAAAGAAAACCGAACAAATCAAACCCGTTTTTCGCAAACAGACCCTATCCTTCTTGGACCAAAAGACAAGAAAAACAAAATACCCAAAAAAAGGAAATCACAAGGAAACGCAGACCCAGCATTATACCCAAGGAAACAAAGAAGAGATTGAGTCAGGAAGAATCATGGAGCATCGTTGGATATAAGAAAACTTGCTAAAAGAGGGTGGCCAAGCCCATTCCTGTCCCAAAAAGCCGGTTGGAGAAGTACATATTACAAGAAGTGGGAAGAGAGATGCGAACCAGCTTAAGCCTCGGCAGCGGGGGCGGCGGCGGTCTCCTTCTTCTTGGGGGCAGCCTTCTTCTTGGGAGCGGCGGTCTTCTTCTTGGGGGCAGTCTTGGGGGCAGCAGTAGATCCCTTAGACACACGTCCAGACTTGGTCTTGGTCAAGACAGTTGTCTTCTCGACGACAGCGGGGGCCTTTAACACGTGTAAGCATACATTTTACATGGGATATAAGATTTCGTGATTCAACTTACAGCCTTCTCAGCCTTCTCAGCGGTCTTGCGAGGCTTCTTGGCGTTAGACTTAGGCTTAGCCGCGGTGGCAGTGGTCTTTTTCTCCTTGGGGGCAGGAGCAGTCTTCTCGACTTTCTCGGCCTTGGGCTTAGTGGTAGTAGTCTTCTTGGTGGTGGTGGTGGCCTTCTTGGTGGTGGGGGTCTTCTTGGTGGCCTTCTCAGCGGTGGCCTTCTTAGTAGTGGCCTTCTCGCCGGTAGCAACCTTGGACTTGGTAGCGGGCTCCTTCTTCTGAAGCTTCACGGTTCCAGAAGGACCTAGCACAGAAATTAGCTCTGATGCGCTACAAGCGATACATAGAAGAAAAAAACATACCCTTGGGGAAGGTGAATTCGCCGTCGGCGGCACCCTTCTTAAGAGCCTGGTTGAAGAGCTGATCGAACCTGTCGGTCCCTACACCCTTGTAGTTCGCTTGGATGTATTTCTTGAGCGCCGGACGGCTAGAGAAAAAACGCGAGTTAGAAGAAAATTCATCATAACAACGCGTAGAAGCAACACGAGGTAGTGCGAAAAATATGCGCGCCCGTATGGCAACATGTATCCGTGGAGAATTGGGTGAACCAACCTGGAACCATTGCGTTCTTTGAGCTGAACTCGACAAAATAACGTTAGTGATCATGTTCAAACAGCAAAAACTCGTCACCACCGTTTGGTAGAGCGACTAACAAAGGGGTGATAAAGTTGATGGACTTACAGCGCGGATAGACTCCTTGATCATTTCCTTGTAAGGAGGGTGCTCAGGAGCAGAGGCCTTCTTAACGGTGCCGGTGGCCTTAGCAGTGGTAGCTTTGGGAGCCATTTGGTTTGATTTGGGGGTAGTTTAGATGGAGAGGTTCTGAAAAGTGTTGACAAGAATGTTGGAGATAAGGAGTCTTTGGGGGGGCGCGAGGACGTTGAGCAAGAGATTCAGATGCGAGTTGGGCTAAGGAGAAGAGACGACGAGCGGGAGGACCGGCGGGGCTGCTCTATATGTCCCACGCTGCAGCCGGCCCAGATCAACAACACCCGTCACTCACACCCCTGGGTTAGGGTTCAAACGAGACACACACCACCCTACGGTGTGGTATCGCGCTCTCCGATTCAATGGGACAATTCTCCCTCTAGCATCCGCCCTGACCGGTGCGTTGGGCAAATACTACGGGGAACGTGCGTGTGGTCCCTCCTGCCTACCTGTTCTGCTTTTGCCCCCCCTCCGACTTTTTTTTGCTTTCTTTCTTTCCCGCGTTGGTTGCTTGCCTTCTTTCGATTCTAACACACATCCTTACTCACTTTCCGACGACCTTTCACCCCCCCCTCCTCAATCCTGATATCCTGATGGCATCTTTTTTTCGGGGTCTCTTCGCATCTGCCCCTTCCCCTCCCTTCCCTGTACCATCATTCTGCTAGAGAAATTGAATGGGGCCAAACGGCCTATCACACCCTCTAATTCCTACTCTTTCTTTCTCTGGGAGTTGTGCCCGCCCGTGTGCCATTTTACCATTCTATTTTCCCTCCCTGTCCACCCCCCAATACCCAATTTCTTGTAATCAACACGTCACCGCAGCTCCCCGTACCTCCCCTCCCCCCCCTCCAAGTATTCTCCCCCACCCCTCCCTCTCTATCTTCTATCAGAGTATGTAGGTGCCTACCCAGGTAGAGAGAGGGTTCTCCTTCTATCTACCGTTCTATCTCTATTCCTCGTTGAATCACTACGTCCATCCTATTGCTTCTTTCCCCTCCCCAGCTTTTCTTTTTTGCGCCATCCACCCTTCCCGCCGATTGGACACGTTTGATAAGAAGCTCTTCTACCTTCTTACTCTTTGTTGTCACTTGACGCCCTCCATGTAGACTGCAGTGTATGATCTGGGATCAGGCACTGTTCCTATCCTTCACTCTATATGGCATTGTATCACATCGTATCGTACCGTATCGTGTGCCTCTACTTATGTGGTGGAAACCAAAAAAAAAATCTATCCTTCGCGCGTCGCGTCGGATCAACTTCAAAACGAAACATCACAAAGTAGAATATAATGTGAATACATGAATATGATCAGATAGAGTGGCCCAGATTCACCACTCCTGCTGCTCAAAAAGGTTGGGGAAAACCCGTAATTCGCTTATTTGGTTGTTGTGGAAGGAATCTTCCCTCCCGCCCGAAATCCCCATCCAAACCTTCCTCTGCTACCTCACCCAAGATACATGCACTCAGTGGATAGATGGCACAGCAGAGCACAATGTAAGGAACGGGATTCTCAACAGTGGCAAGCACAGCCAGCCTCTCAGAAGCTTCCACATCCACACGCATCGTTTTGGATCTGGCGGTAGCAATCGGGCGTGGGTCGTTTTTCCTGGCCGTTGCTACAATCCCAATCCCACCCGTCTCCGCGTCTGAGTTTTCCCACCCTTCCTTCTCCATTCCTTCTCCACAACAACGCCAAATTAGCAAACAAAAATATAATAGAGATGTGATGGGGGATTATGGTTTGGTGGTGCTCGCGATGGGGATGGAATTAATTGTAGTTAATTATTGTTGTGGTTTTGGAATTTTGGACACGGCGTGGTTGGGCGGCTTCACGAAAATGTGAATATCGCGATCGTGAGCTTCTCCCCACGACCCTACTCGAAGCTTCCACCGCAGCAATCCACTACTCAACGCTTCTCTGTCCCGTATAACCAATATCAAAGCCATCTCCTCTCTCCCCCCAACAACTCGACAAAGTTTCTACTTCCCCAGGGCGTTGGCTCCCAACAAACTCCCCACTATCAACCCACCACACACCGAGTCATCTCCCCCATCATCGCGCCATTTCGCAACCTCACCCCCATTCACCCCCTCCATAGCTCCTCCAAATCCCCTTCAATCCAGGCTTTGAGCATGAGGGTCTACTGCCCGCCTCTTTGCCGACAAAATAGTACCGCTCCCATCGCGTCAGAGTACGAACTCGCCACCTTCCTTTCCCCTCTTTGACAGCTTGCCCACGGAGCCGTGACTGGCCGTGACCGGACGAGTGATGTCGCGTGCGCCAAGAAATAGGCGCTAGTGGTTTCTAACAATTATTTGGAGAGCTACTAAGTTAGTAATACTACATTTATGCTTGATATCAGTTTTTTGGCCCTTAATCACTTAAAAACATGCTTTGAAGTCATTATGAAATCAATTTCCTGAGTTCCTATGCATTTTCTACCTAAGCTTGTGTGCCAGTTGTACGTAGGCACGTGAGGCGCGGTGTGGCAGAGCTGGCGGTTTCGTTTCGTGGTGGAATGCATGATAAGCGAGCGAATATCACCCACCACGACCACTCCCTGCTCTAGCTAGGAATATACGTATCTCCGGTGGGTTTAAGGTGAGGCGCAAAAGGGCGTAGAATAATTGCTATTTTTTATTTGTTTATTTATGGGAAATTCCAGAAGGTTTTTTCACGATCGTAATCTGCAACGAATGAAACCCCCGACCCAGTCCGCGGCGTGGGGATTTGATGCGAGGGTTTGGGATTGATTAGAATTTAGTGCCCGAGTAAGTGCTATGCAGGGTCTACGAGGTTGTCGTAATTAGAGTACATAGGTGGGCACGGGTGAGGTCTGAGGATGGGGGTAGGGGTGTGGAGGGTTTGGGTTGGTGGTGGGAAGGCTTAGGTGAAGTCATGGGATATCACTCATTTCGGGATTGGGATCGGCTACTGAAGTTGTCGCTTTGAACTCCTGTTGTTTTGATTGGTTCTGGGCTGGAGAAGGGATCCGGGATTTGTGGAATACTCGGATTATTATGGATGATATCGAAATTGCCGTTAATTAGTGTTTTAATTCTGGTACTTGATCTGGTATTAACCAAAGTACCACCATCGCACCAGGCCCATAATATTGTGAGGATCTAGGTACAGTAGTACAGAGATGGGGATCGTATCGCTACGAAGTCGCCCTGGGTATCTTAGATACGGTAGGAATTCGGACCGGATATTGGTTTCTTTGAGATGTTGGTTTGGTCTGTTATTCTTATTCTCCACCGAATTCCGTGGTGATTTGATGGTTTAGCGCGCGCTGCATCTTGAAACGCTCGATTTTATACCATGCTACTGGATCATAGAGTACCAATGGAAGGGGGGAAATTATCCATCGAAAACTCCTATGATTTACGTCTCCCAGTCAGAGTCTGTGTTTTGAGCCTCAAATTCAGCGATCAATGATTTTGCAAGAGGCGACATGAAGGCCGTCAATAATACATAACAAATCCCCTATTACTATCAGTATACTTGGATTGACTCATAATGAAGACTGGAACCTAGAGTCATTTATCCTGTGCATAATTGGCCACCCGCTCTACGAAATCCATTTAACGCGTTGCGATCAGCGCGTCACGTCGCCCCTTCCAGCCCAGTAACAACCTCACCTCCATTCCACCCTAACACGAGAGAATAACGCAAATATGGGTATTAAAGGTAAGTAACAATGCCAAGTATCTCCAATGCTCAGGTTCTGATTCTCCTTAGGGCTCTTCCAGGTCATTTCAGACAACGCCCCCGACGCCATCAAGCATGGAGATATCAAGCAGCAATTCGGCCGCAAGGTCGCCATCGATGCGTACGTTCTACCTAAGCCCTTTCCTAAAAGAGAAGTAGAGAAAGAACGCAATATCTGACTCCAAATACAGTTCTATGAGCATTTACAGTTTTCTCATCGCCGTGCGCTCCGACGGCCAAATGCTGACCTCCGAATCCGGCGAGACGACTTCCCATTTGATGGGAATCTTCTACCGCACGCTGAGAATCATTGACAACGGTATCAAGCCCCTCTACGTCTTCGACGGCAAGCCTCCTACCCTCAAGTCCGGCGAACTCGCCAAACGTACCGCGCGCAAAGCCGAGGCTACCGAGGCCCTCAAAGACGCAAAAGAGACAGGTACAGCAGAGGACATTGAGAAGTTCTCGCGCAGAACCGTAAGAGTCACTCGCGAGCATAACGAAGAATGTAAGCGCCTGCTCAAGCTTATGGGTGTGCCGTATATCGATGCGCCTTGCGAGGCTGAGGCGCAGTGTGCTGTGCTTGCGAAGGCTGGGAAGGTGTATGCGGCCGCGTCAGATGATATGGATACATTGTGCTTTGAGACGCCGATTCTGCTAAAGAAGCTCATGTTGAGTGAGCAGAAGAAGGAGCCCGTGCAGGAGATTGATCTGCAGAAGGCGATGGATGGGCTAGGGTTCGATCGTGCGCAGTTTATCGATCTGTGTATTCTCCTCGGATGCGATTATTGCGAAACCATCCCAAAGGTTGGGCCGACGACGGCGCTGAAGCTAATCAAGGAACACAAGAGCATTGAGAAAGTCCTTGAGCACTTGGGACCTAAATACGCGGTCCCGGAAGACTGGCCGTACCAGGACGCCCGTGAATTGTTCTTCAAGCCCGAGGTTATTGACGCTGAAGAATGTGACTTCAAGTGGGAGCCACCAGATGTTGATGGATTGATCAAGTTTTTGGTACAAGAGAAAGGGTTCGCCGAGGAAAGAGTCAGGAGCGGAGTCGCAAAGCTGAACAAGAACCTCAAGAGCACTACACAGTGTATGTCTATCCTTCTTTACACATGCATGGCAAGTTCGTTATACTAACACGGGATATAGCACGCATGAACGACTTCTTTAAGCCAGTCCCTAAAACGGCAGAGGAGCTTGCACTCATCAAAAAGAAAAACGAAGAGAAAGCGGCCGAAAAAAAGAGAAAACAGAGGCAAGAACAGGCGGCAAAGAAGGGTGCGAAGAAGCCCAAACTGGGATCATAAGCTCGTAGAGGGAGAGAGGATGGCAATGAGTGGAAGACGATATCTAGTTCCTTGTAATTTTACCAATATTGTTATTGACATGAATGATGCTCTTGTATGATGGACATTGGCGTGGAATATCAAAATTAAAACAAAAAATAACCTTAATACTCGAGGGAGATGCAATTACAGCCTTGCCCTCTTTGTGCATATCCGGAGCAATAAAACATATTTTATCATCGTCTTATTCGGGTGACCAAAATTGCGCTAATCTGATCGCTCAAGTTTAAGGTGTAGAGTGCACAATTACTATTCTTTCCAATCAGTCACCCAGACACAATAACTAAAAAATAAAACAAACTAGTATTGAGTTCGGTATCTGGGATTCCCACATGGTCTCCCACTGTAGTACTAACCAGACGATACAACGCTTAGAGATAGCAGAGCTGACGGGATGCATCGTTTTCATTGTTCTATGACCGAACACGGAAGCGATGTGTTGGGGTGTGATTATATACAATTTTCGAGTGATCTGTTGTGATGGAAATGAGCGGTTTTACTCCAAGTCAAATCATACCAGCGTTAAGAAAGCCAAAAACTCGGCCTTCGCTGTGATTTCATGTACAGTATCCGGTAGAATTATTGCGAAAGCCAGAACTAAAAGGGTGGGTTTCTTGACCTGTGCTCACTGCAAAAATTCCTTTGAGGGCCAATGGGACTATCGGGTCACGGAAAACCTACTTTCGCATTAATTCTACCACAATCTGTATAATCAATCACTCGGAGTACTAAAGTAAGTCTATTGGGGTATTTCTTCTATATCTCACAATTTGGTATTTGGATGCTGCCTATTCGTAAATTCATGGCTTTGATTTCGAACACGACCGGATACTTTAGGGCAACTCTTGCATGAGACCATTATGTAGTTCTGGTGGTACAAGAATGCAGACTCAGTTGTTTGGAAACGGTACGAGTTCACGAGTCCGTCTTGAGATGGAATAATTGTGCGAAGAGAAATGCTCAAATTCAACCTATATTTTGTATCACACCACCTGAAGAAATAGATGGCTTTTATGGGATAAGTATTTATTATAATATATTTATTAGTTTATAACAAAATTTCAGTTTCCTGGAAAGGATGTGGACTAAAATATAGGACCATTATGCCCACCTACGGAATCAAAGAAACCGGGACATAACGGTGAGTAGACAGCCCTCACAAGGATATCATCTTCCTTACACCAAAATAGGAACAGACCACGGTTGTGTAGGTTTGCACCAGAGTGTTGGTAAGGTGTTTTCACAAATCGAGTGAAAGCAGAGAAAAAAAACCATTGTTATCACGTTGTAAAATTCCGAATTATTTTAACGCCTATTAACGCCTAGCCAGTTGGAGATACCTTCTATGTTAAGTAGCTACAAATAATTTTTTTTGATACCCAGACCAGCCAAGGAAAGAAAGAGATTGTCCATAGGGAGTTTATTCCGAAGGGACTATCTTGTTGTCAGTATTGCTACTCTACTCTCTTAAAGCCATATAATGGGGAACTCACTCTCAATCTCGCCAGACGCAATGTCGTCGGAGACATCCTTGGGGGACCTTCCATCAACCTGGCATCCAACGGAGAAGCAGGTTCCGAGAATCTCCTTGACGGTACCGGTGAGCTCCCTGGCGAGAGACTTGTTCTCGCCCCTCATGATGCGGGCAATGTTGATGACCTCATCGAGAGGGATGCTCTTGGTGTGCTTGATGTTCTTCTCCTTCTTGCGGTCCCTTGGGGGCTCCTTAAGGGCACGGATGACGAGGGAAGAAGCGGAGGGGACAACGGAGACGGCGGCTTGACGGTTCTGGATGGTCAACTTGACAGTGACACGGAGACCTTTCTGCAGGGTTATTAGCAATTGATTCGGAATCATTTCTCTTTCTAGAAGACGGGGAAGTACGCACCCAGTCACCAGTGGCCTTGGCGATATCTTCACCGACCTTCTTGGGCGACAAACCGAGAGGACCGATCTTAGGAGCAAGGGCGGACGAAGCACCGACTTCACCACCAGTAGCTCTCAGCTGACTGATAACCATCCCCAATCGTTAGCCAACCCATACAACGGGAGGTACAATATGAGGAATATTGGTTGTGTTGTTCAACCGGATCTGATGTTGAAATTTACGTACATGACCTTAACTTCTGAGGGATCGAACTTTGGAGCTATAAGCGTAAAATCGTCAGCATTTGCGTTTTTTACGCATGGCAGCTACAAAGAACTTGGAATTGAACATACGCATGGCGACTGATTTTTCGGTGGTTGGTTAGTGAAATTGGTGGAGTGTCGGTATTGTTGGTGTTGGTTGGAGCAGAAAATTTCGGGATTTTGAATTTTGACAATATGCATATGCTCTTGGTGTGTCTCCAGAGCAGTCCCGTTAGATAGGGTTAGACCCTAGGCAACCTGCTTGGTGCGGTTACCCTACCTTGCATCGCCTACCCCTACTGCATAGAGTACAGAAAACAGGGTTTGTATGGCTGATTGGGCCAATAGGACTCCAAGACCCGGTCAATGGCAAAATATTTAGGGGCTGACCAATAGAGCTTCAAACATACTACCTTGCTGGCCATCTTAGTGAAGGATCATAGTTGAGTTTGGACACGTGCACTGGAGTAACAACGTTCACAGAATCTCACTCGGATTACACCTCGCTGAAATGCTTTTTCCTTAAAGTGAGTTGGGGTATTTAAGCCCATATTATTTCATAACCCATTAAAACTTTCTGATAAGTATCAGTGTTCTTGTAACCACTTGCTGGTGCGTGTCTTTAGTCACATTCGCAATACTTAATGAATGCACTGGCAAATAGATTTCAGAGCAGATAGAAACACTCATGATCAGATCTAGACATGAAGTGTGGCTACGCGTATCTATTCAGTAATATAGCTTCCAGTCGGCCCTTCATTGTTATTATTAAACTAAAACTCAGAGACAAGGAAGTGTCTTAATACCGTAATTATGATATATGTATGGAGACCGATTTATAAAAACAACAACTATGTAGACGGGACAACGAGTAAGAATAAAAGACCCGTTATTTACAAGTTTGGGTCCATCCACAGGAATGAAGTAGATAATTTGGAAGCCAATACAAAAATTAAAAGCCCATGATAGAGTTTTCCCGCTTCCATAGGTGATGGTCTTGGTGGGTTATCGTTCCTCGAGTGATACTGAGTGACCGATCACGTGGTGATCCATACCTGTTTGGGACAAGAGTGACGTTAGGTTATGAAAGGACCCGGACAGAAGGAATGAGGGATTCTTGGTATTGATAGTGGAGTAGAAGATAGCCTAGCTTCTCTAGAGGTTTAAGGTGAGTATAAGGTTTGAAATGTTACTAGACAATTGGTGACGGCTCTAGTTGTTTTTAATATAAATACATGTACTCAGTTCTTATTGTGGCATTTTTGAATAGATTCTTTCCCTTCTTACATGGATATGAACCTACCTAACACGTTGGTAGTTGAAGCACTGTTTTGAATACTTGATATTTGCTGTATTCGTGCGCACAAGGCCTTACCTTGTAGATATAAGGTAGAAGCCGCATAAAATGAAGAAGGCCTTGATATATATCCCACTCCAAAACCCAGGGCCTTGCAAAGATTAGAGTCCATAGCCTATGCAAATACTCCACTAGATCGGTATCGTTCCTGTACTATATTGATAAGTGATATATACACTTCCATGCGCGTTTAATCCCAATTTCCATATCTAGGCGGCTAGTAAGTCTCAGCACGCGAAGGAGCTGAAGAACCCTGCCATTAGCACCATTCAAGATAATACGGAGCCAGGGGAGCATACGTTCGAGGATCGGAGCCGGAATGTTCCTCTCGTATTTTGAACCTCCGGGGGCAGTCGGTGGAATGTATGGGTCGGGGTGCTTCCACTTCTCCAGCTCCTCCTCAGTGCGTTGAAGGAGCACCTGTCCAGTATCGTCAGTTCTTCTGGCCAAAACTAGGTGCACAACGCGCATTCCCACATACTCGCAGCTGCCTTGGGTCCGTAACGTGTCTATTCGCCTCGAACGCATCGCGGAGGTTCAGCGCCGTGATCCTCCACATGGCTCTTCCATCAGCCCAGCTTTGGGCGGTTTTGAGGCTTTTGCGGTAGAGAGAGCTTCTGAAGGTCAGCACGGGTTGTGTATACAATTGGGCGGTGCAGAGCGTACCAGACTAGAGACTTTGAGGCCATTGTTTCTGAGGAGAGTTATGTCGTGGGCTATTTGATTCGACGGATAGGGTTGACGTGAGGAACGGTGGTTACCCCCACCAGATACCTTGGCGATTATTACGTAAGCATTTGGATCTCACCTGGCCAGTGGCTGTGCATGTGGATTCTTCTGAGGCTTACAAAGGGTCTCTACATCGTTTGTTACTTGTTTTCTATCTTGTGATGTGTTCACTTGATGCCTGAGAACGAAAGAAAAAAAAATCTTGAGGCATTAATTTGTGTTCGGAGCTGAGGGGAGAGGGTAGCTGGAGGGAAAAGTGTTTATCCGCCCATGCTGAACCCGTACCTTGAGCAAGTCCCTTTTTTTTCATGAAGTAAAGCTTCAAATCTGCAAGGGAGTTAGTAATCTCCAGTTTTTACCCTACTGGAGAGTAGATTAGATGCTCCAATCTAGCTAAATCCTCGGCTTTGTAAACAGTCTCCCCTTGGACGTTGCTGTTCATGCCCGGGTTGCGGGTCTGTCATCGGACATGCTCGGCTTGTTGCAAGCCAACTTCCCTCCGCTTTCCCGGTCGATATTGAAATCCTGTCACTTGAAACGGTTCCTGACCAAACACCCTACCATAACCACCCCTCCTTCTCTGACCCTCTAACTTATCCCCCATCAAACACCACCATCACAATATACATCATGGCCTCAAGTAGCAGAATGGCGCTTCGTCGCTTACCTCTTTCCGCCCGTATCTCTAGCCCTGCGGTTCTCAGGACTGCTCCTCTGAAGAGCGTCTCCCAGGCTTCTGTACGCTCATACTCTCGCCTTTCGCAGGCATCAAACAGCGGTCTTTTGAGCGCCACCAGCAGGTTCGAAGAATAGTTTTTTTTGAGGGTGTCTCCGGGTACTAGCGGACGAGGAAAGCTCACTGAAAGACGGCTCCAGGAAACCCCAGCAGTTCATTGAAATTGCGTCGTTCTACAATGTCCAGACTCGTTCCTATGGTACTTGAATCATACATGCCTTTTTATCAGTTCCCCCCCATTATACATGGGAATATATGGCTGTATAGATGCTAATGAGTCAAAATTGGTATAGCCGACAAGATTGTAAAGGTCCCTCAGATGGCCGAGTCGATATCAGAAGGAACTCTGAAACAGTGGACGAAGAGTTTGTTTCTCCTTCAATGAAGTGTTTGGGGTTAATACTAAGATTACATACAGAGGTTGGCGACTTCGTTGAACAGGATGAGGAAATCGCGACCATCGAGACCGACAAGGTAAGCAGTTGAGTATATAGCGACTGGGTTATTCAAGCTAATATATCCATCAGATTGACGTAGCAGTCAACGCTCCCGAAGCCGGTACCATTGTCGAGTTGTTTGCTCAGGAGGAGGATACCGTCGTTGTTGGGCAGGACTTGTTGAAGTTGGAGTTGGGTGGCGCACCCCCAGAAAACGCTGAGAAGGAGGCCCCCGCAAAGGAGGAGCCTAAAGCCCCTGCCGATTCAAAGCAGGAGCCTGGATCAAAGGCTGCCCCCCCCAAGGAGGAGCGTGAGGCCCCTAAGGAGGAGAAGAAGGCACCTGCGCCGCCACCCTCGGCGCCTAAGAAAGAGGAGCCGAAGCCAGCACCACCAAAGCAACAGAGCTCAAACCAGCCATTTGGTCAGCGTGAAGAGCGCCGTGTAAGTGGAACAGTGGATATTGCGGTGGGTATGCGCTAATGATGTAATAGGTAAAAATGAACCGCATGCGTCTCAGGATCGCTGAGCGCCTAAAGCAGTCTCAGAACACCGCTGCTTCGTTGACTACCTTTAACGAGGTTGATATGTCCGCTCTTATGGATATGCGCAAGAACTATAAGGATGCTGTTCTTAAGAAGACTGGTGTCAAGCTCGGATTCATGTCCGCATTCACCCACGCCTGTACCCTTGCCATGAAGGATGTCCCGGCCGTTAATGCATCCATTGAGGGGCCTAACGGAGGAGACACCATCGTCTACAGGGACTACGTCGATGTTTCTGTCGCTGTTGCAACTGAGAAGGGTCTCGTCACCCCCGTTGTCAGGAACGCTGAGGGACTTGACTTCATTGGTATCGAGAGGGCGATCGCTGAGCTTGGACAGAAGGCGAGGGATAACAAGTTGACCATTGAGGACATGGCTGGTGGAACTTTCACCATCAGCAACGGTGGTGTCTTTGGTTCATTGATGGGCACACCTATTATCAACTTGCCCCAGACTGCTGTGCTTGGTCTGCACGCCATCAAGGACAGGCCGGTTGCCATTGACGGCAAGGTTGAGATTAGACCTGTAAGCCCACCCTCCCGGATATTGTTATGTTGAAGACGAGTGCTAATTATGATTGATAGATGATGTACCTTGCCCTCACATACGACCACCGTCTCCTTGATGGACGTGAAGCCGTGACATTCTTGGTCAAGGTGAAGGAGTACATTGAGGACCCCAGACGCATGCTGTTGGCTTAGATATCTTGTTGTGTGCTTTGTTAATTATCCCTTACATCTATCTAGCTCTTTTGGTTGTTTCTCTTCTCTTTCCTCTTTTTGCTTGTTTTTCTTTTGATCTTCTCCTTTCTTCCCTTTATTGCTCGCCTCTCGCCATTTATTTTCGGGAAAAGTGAGAACAAAAGTGTTTATAGTGAGTGATGTTGCGATCTAAACCCCTTCGCTGGATAGTAGTTTAGGAGGAAGGTTTGGTTCCTAGGTGGGTGTCTGAGCTTGATCGAATAGTTTTGTTGGCAGGTGGTATCTTATAATCTACAGAAAACAAGCTACATTGGCTCATCGCATTTGATCCTTCTTACATAGCATCGGGAAGACGTCTACTTATCTTATTTCTATGCAGAACCATAAAACACGTATTTGTCCTACCGTTAAGTCATTGATCTCTCCTTCGAATAGTACCCCAGCCAGCAAAACTGAAGAAATCGCCATGTGCTCTGTACGTTCCCGCCCTCAATTGTGGCTCAAGCATCTATCATAACACCAATGTGCATCTCTCAACGAGTATTAATGAAGTAATCAATCAATCAATCAAATCTCTCAACGAGTGACATCCCATGACTGAATAGATCAAAATCATCGCCATGGAAATTACAGGCAGCCTGAGACCCCCAATGTGGTTTCGTGAGTGTTTGTATAGGATGTCTTCTTCTAATGTGGGCACTAGCAACGGAAGAGAGTTTGCAATTTTGGGGTGGGTATATCTTTTTCAGAATTGTGGAACGGATCATGTCTCAATTCTGTGGCTTTCGTGCGAGGCTCGCCTGATATTACCATGTGTCATGTTGGCAGCATTTAAGTAACAGCTTGAGGGATAGGCGAGCTGTTCGGGCCTGCCATCGACACCTATCACTGTCACGTCGACACTTGTCCTATCCGTGACTATATAAGTAGCTAGACTCTTTGTCGAGATCAGAACCCAGTCGCTTCACTATCTCGCCCTATTTACACACGAATGAATTATCGATCAATCAATGCTATCTTTTCAGCAATCCGTTATGGGTTGCGACCGAGTGAGAATTTGTGATCATACTCGGCTCGTTCTAGATCAGTCCTCGATCAGCGACAACAAACCCTCCTCCTCCTCCATGGCAAGCTATGTGCTCGGGGCGATATCGATATACTGCATGTAATAGAGAATATAAGTCTCATATATGAATCCCATATCCCGTATCTTATCCTATATCCCGTATCCTATCCTATATCCCATATTCTACCCAAACATTCTTTCGAGTCCACCCAGAGCGTGTAACGTAACCACCACAACCCTAACCACAACGCGTTTCCACAGCTGCAAATCAATCCATCGATTCATTGTTCACCAAACAACAACCTCAACACCAAACCTCGACCCTCACCACCAAACCCCACGAGCAGAGGCAGCAATGGTAAACCACAACCCAAACACAATCAACGCCCCCTTCCCACGCACACTCACAACGACCAATGCCAACCGCCGAACCACAACCACCGCACGGAGCATGGGCCCGCCGCCGCCGCAGGGACGGAGTATCAACGAGAGGTTTGACAGGATGGTCTATACGAGTCCTTTACCAAGAGTATTCCCCCTTGTCCCGGGAAAGGAGGAAGGGAGGAGAGCACACTGACAGGAAATAGAGTATAAGCCGCGAATACAACAACCTCCGTGCCTCCACCGCGGCAGCTACAACTACAATCACGGCCACAGCTACAACTATAACAGCAACAGCAAGTATACCCTCCTCGCTACGCAATGAGACAACATCCTCCCTCACGCCCAAGAAGACCACGCCGAAGCCTCCACCACCACCACCACCACCACCACCACCACCGCAGCAACAGACCGCAAGAGGTATCACCCCGCGCTCCCGCCCTGCAAGAGGCTCGCGCACGCCCGTGACAGCCACGCCCGTAACCACAGACTCAGAAGACCCGTTGTCGGCGCCAGGCGCTTCAACGATTGTGTCGCCTGCGCCGCCGAAGCGGCAGCTTGTGTATACAGACGTTAACATAGACGTGGGGAGTCGGGGAGCGTCTACGGGGGAGGAACAGGAACAGGAGCAGCCGCCGAAGAAACGCGCGAGATCAGATAGCCGCACGCCGATGGGGCCGTCGAAGGTACGGAAGACAACTACGGCGACGCCCCTAGGGGACGCGAGTGCGGGGAGGAGCATGCGCTCTTCGGGGAGGAAGGATGTGCAGAGTGGGATGAAGATTATGGAGGAGAAGACGCCGGTACAGAGAAGGGGTGGGGGCGCGAGGAGGACGACGGAGTTGGTGGTTGCGCCGGCGAGTCCTGCACGTGCCGCACCGGCTGCCCCGAAAGTTCCGGAGCCAGAACCGCAGCTGGAAGAGCCAGAACCTCAGTTGGAAGTGTCGGAACCAGAACCGGAGCCGGAACCAGTCCCGGTACTACCTATGAAAATCAACAACACCGCAGCAACACCAGTACCCAAATCTGCAAAGAACAAGATCCCAAAGGCCATCCTCCCAGGATTCGCCATCCCCCCAGGCATGCTCGACCAGACCGGCTCCCTCTGGGACCACGGCCGCCGCATCTCGCGCCGAAACACTATCGCCTCCGCCGCCCTCAGCTTCAGCCTACAATCACCCGCACCGGTCACTACTACCAAGAAGACAAAGAAGATGACCCGCAAATCACTTCCCAGCCATGCCCCGAAATACAACACGGCCCGCCCATACAGAGTCGGAAAAGCACCCAGTAGACGTAGTACGGCGGCGAGTGACTCGGACGCACCGGCACCGGCTGGCAGCATCGGCGGTAGTGGGAATAGCAGGAAGAGGAGGGTGAATGTGTTGGGCGCTTCGACGGATGGTGGGGAGGAGCTCGAAAAGGTGGAGGGTGTGGTGAAGCCGAAGAGGGCGACGTCCACATGGAAGTTGGAACAGATGAGGAAGGCTCGGGTGCTCCGCACGGCGGGCAAGGGGAGTAGTGAGGTAGAGATGGAGGAAGGAAGGATGGATAGGTTGCTGAGTGCGGGGATTGAGGACCGGTCTGTGGAGGAGACACCGGGCGAGAAGCCGCTGGTGGAGGAGATGCCGCAGGTCTTGGGGAAGACGGTGAGGGGTAAAGGTGTCAATAAGACGCCCGGGAAGACACCTGGGAAGACGCCTGGGAAGACGCCTGGGAAGACGCCCGGGAAGACGCCCGGGAAGACGCCGGGGAAGAAGGCGAAAGCTAAGGAGGTTGAGGAGACGCCGGCGCTGAAGTCGACGGGGAAGAAGACGCCGGTGGGGAAGCGCTTGACGAGGGGGTCGGCGGTGAAGGGGCCGGTGGGGAATCCGGAGTTTGAGTTTTCGGATGAGGAGTAGTTAGTTTTTAGTTTTAGTCTTATCTTCTTCCAATTGGAGAGGGGCTTTTTTTTTCTTCTTTGCGGTGTTGAGTGGTGTTTTTCTCTCATATCTTTATGTCTTATGTCTTTATACCTATTTCTAGTTCTCTATAGTCTTATCCCCGTATTTTCTTTTTCTTCTTTTCGATTTCTTGCGTTGTACTGGGTACTGGGTATTGCATGTAGTTAGGTCGAGGTGTAGTTATGTAGGTAGCTTGTGTTCTAAGAAGCACTTAGATTACAGCGAAAACTTTCTGTATAAGTAACGGTACGCTTGAATCGGACCGGAGCTTGGTGGATGTGTAGGGCTTGGTGGAGATCTAGAGTGCCAGTACTGAAGACCAACTCTTTTAAAGAGATTACATGTACCTTTATACCAGGCGCCGCTGTGCTAGTAGCTGCTACTAATGTAGGCGGCCCTTGGGGTAATTACATGTAAGGTTTGGAACCTTTATATCACACGCTAAGCTATCACAACACTTGCTAGTGGGGGTTGGCTAAACCTTAAATTTATATGCAGACAAACCTTATACGTGAGCCTCCTCAACCTGGGACTTTACCTTGGGTATTGCTGTTAGTTTTGGACCGTTGGGGGATGCGCGTTATTGGTGCTGGGGGGCGGCGAAGGGAGTTAGTTTAGGTCGTTGAACGATGACTCGATAGCTTAATAAATTTCTGGACGTAGGCTATAGGTCTACTCGTCTATATCTACCTCCTGGGATCCTGGTGATTAACTGTTCAAGTACACCGACACCGACATAGTTGGCGGTTTCTGCAGAATGGCACTGCACTGTGCTGTACTCGTCGAGAGCACTGGTCAGAGGAAGGTATTGGAGAGCAAAGCTTGAAGAAAGGCGCAGACGTTGATGAGCTGGTGTACGGGCATAAATACCTCGTTTCTACAAGGTAACATACTCGCCTACAGTGAGTTACTTTCTCGTTAACTGTGGGTGTAGAGATCCGATATAGACACCTTATTTGTAGGCGATCCATTCATATATAAAGAAGAAGTAAGAGCTCGAGATAAAAGTACATCTACCCAGATACCTAGATATCCACCCGTCCCACCCAACCAACCAACGAACCACCCAACCTATCATTACCACCGTCATAAAAAACCACCATACTTATCATTAACCACTCACTCACTCACTCATCGCTACCTACCTCCGCACATGGGATAAACCTTATTTACACACGTGCCGTGCCGCTGCTTGTGACGGTGCCCGGGGCTTATTTGTGTTGGACGACGACCGACAACGCCGACAGCGACGACGTTCCTGCGATTATCACTCGGTTGGCGGATTGCGATTAGAGCCGAGTGACCGCGTCGTGATTCGCCAAGGGGTTTCACTCCAATTATTTACTACTTCTGCATTTGGCGTTTCACAAATGTTTACAATTACTACTACTGTTATTATGAGTACATCTCGTTCAAGCTGTTTACTTTTTAAAAATGTTTTGTTAAAGATGTTGAAGTTAGAGGTGAAAGATTCTTCTAATTCGTTCCTAACTAAAAAGTCTCTCTAATTCCCAATGCCAAAAAAACCTGTAGTCAATGATATGTAACCTATGAGCGAATGATAGATGATGATGCAGGTGAGAAAAGGAACAGAGATTCATTTACGTGAAACAATTACAGGAAATACAAAGTCATAGAATCCCTAAAACAAACACGTTCATTGAATCCCCGGCATTTCATAGCGCTATAGTACAATACAGGATGATAAAGGAAAAAAAAGGTAACCCCGGCCGAGAGAAAAATAAATCCCGAATACCCAAGAATGATCTTTCAGGTTTGAATTAATTTCAACACCCGAAAGGGAAAAAAAAAAAAAGTAAAAAAACAGTTAGAAGACACCGACACCCCGAACTTTATTTGTTGCCCACAACTACCACTTGAGGTTGGACATATCCATAAAAACGCTCGCCAGAACATAAGCGTACATTTAATGGATGAGGTCGAAAATCAAGCCCCCCCGTTTTGTATTGAGAAAGAAGAAAAGCGAAATTACAACTCCTGGGAAGCACCCTTTCCGGACTTGCCAGACTTCTTGGGGAGAAGGTTCTGGTGGATGTTGGGCAAGACACCACCCTGGGCGATGGTGACGTGTCCGAGAAGCTTGTTCAATTCCTCATCATTACCTATTAAGAATGTTAGAATTGTTTCGATTTAATTTGATTCAATTTGAGTTGATTGATTCGATTTGAAATTTGAATCCATTTTGAATCGCGGATTGGGTTTGACTTACGGATAGCGAGCTGGAGATGACGGGGGATGATACGGGTCTTCTTGTTGTCACGGGCGGCGTTTCCGGCCAACTCGAGGATTTCAGCAGCGAGGTACTCGAGCACGGCAGCGAGGTAGACGGGAGCACCGGCACCAACACTAAATAGAAATAATCAGTATCCAAAGTTTTACCTCAAAAAAAGGGGGTTGGGAATACAAACCGCTGAGCGTAGTTTCCCTTCCTCAAAAGACGGTGAACACGACCGACGGGGAAAGCGAGACCGGCCTTGGAAGAACGGCTAAAGAAAATCAAAGTCAGAAAACAAATCCGAAAAATCCAAATCAAAAAAGTACAAAAGATGAAATCCCATTTCAAAAATCGAGAGAAAAAAGACGCGATTTATTTTGTTATGAGATGTCAACGGATTTGGGTCGGAAAACGCTTACCTCTGACTGGGCTTTCCGCTGGCGGACTTTCCTCCTTTTCCTCCGGAAGACATTGTAAATTTAGATTTGGGTTGGGTTTTTGAAAAAAGTTGACGTTAGCGAAGTATACTTCGTGAGGGCGAAAGGACGCGTTAGGTGGACGTGAGGAGCGGTTTGTGGTGTTGAGGAGAGCGATGGATGAACAAGAGAAGAAGAGAAAGCTCTGAGGCGATGGGAGATGGGCTGGTCTTTATACGGTGTGATCGGGGTTGGGTTGCATCACACGAAAGCAGGAAGGCAAGCAGCGCTACGAACACACAAATAATTTCTATGGGTGGAAAGGGTGGAGGAAGGCCAAAACAGAGACTAGCGCGTCAGAGGACAGAGGGTTAGGTGAGGAATGTGTGTAACACGGGGGACATGGAGCCAGCCATTTTCTGCTGCCATTCGTGATTCGTGACGGTAGCCTAGTACGCATTCGGTCACGGGCAATAGAAAGCCTAGAAAATCATTCGGTAAAGTCACAGATGCGAGGCTGAGGGCTTTCATTGGCTTAAATGGATGTGCCAAACCCTTGCTAGCTCGACGCTTTGCACGGAATGAAGGGGGAAAAGTGACGAACCTAATGCAACAAATCGTCGCAGCCCGGGACTTGCAGCGACTCAACAAGACACTGTACAACGTTCCTAAAAATCCCAGCCACGCGCGTTTCTATGGTCCCCCTGTCTGTTGATGTGGTTCGAGCTGGTGTCGCTATATAAACCCCATCACTCCCCACGCGTCTTTCTTCTTGCTCTGTTCTTTCCCATCCTCCACCACACCCACAACTCACGTCAAATCGCTACCCTTCGTCGATAATCCAAAACCCAGACTCACGTCGACCTTTTTCAAAAACCTAACACCAAAAACCCAAATCCGTTAAAATGCCTCCAAAAGCTGCTGAGAAGAAGCCCACCACCGCCGGAAAGGCCCCCGCTGGAAAGGCCCCTGAGAAAAAGGTTTGTTGTCCTTTTCCCGCCTCACTTTTGGATTCCGACCTATTTTTCGGATTCCAACCTTTGGATTCCAACTTTTTTTCCAATTTGAATTTTCATTTGGATTCAAATTGAATCCAATATTCAGATAGAATTTTGAAATCATTTTACTAATGCGATTTTTTTACCCCTCTTTAGGAAGCCGGAAAGAAGACCGCCGCCGCTGGTGGTGAGAAGAAGAAGCGCTCCAAGACCAGAAAGGAGACCTACTCTTCTTACATCTACAAGGGTTTGTGGAATCAAATTCCAATTTTTCGATTGAGTCATACAGTTCTAACATGTTTTTTTTTTTTTTTTTTTGAATAGTTTTGAAGCAGGTTCACCCTGACACCGGTATCTCCAACCGTGCTATGTCAATCTTGAACTCCTTCGTCAATGGTATGTCATTCAAAATATGCTCCATATCTTTTCAAAATAGTTGCAGGATTCTAATTTCCCTTTTTTTTCCTTTCAGACATCTTCGAGCGCGTTGCGACTGAGGCCTCCAAGCTTGCCGCCTACAACAAGAAGTCCACCATCTCTTCCCGCGAGATCCAGACCTCTGTCCGCCTTATCCTCCCCGGTGAGCTTGCCAAGCACGCCGTCTCTGAGGGTACCAAGGCTGTCACCAAGTACTCTTCTTCCACCAAATAAACGAGTCATTTGAATCAACGAGCAAAAAACGAGGGGGAAACAACGGTTTTGTTTTAAGAATTCTAGATAGGGTCGTTCTTTAAGCAAATATTCTGTTGTTTTCGCATCGGGATGTTTGATGAATGATAGATCTTTTTTAGGAGTCTTTTGAGTTTGTTCTGTGTCTAATTATATTAAGCCTTTTTCTTTTTTCGTGGGGTCCTTGGCTTATGGTCGTTTTCGGGGCACTTCGGTGTGTTCATTGGTTTTTTTTTCTCTTCAGTTTTTTTTTTCCTTTTTTTTTCTGTCAACGGGGTCACGCGAACTTGTATATTAGGAAATGCCGGGCGGTTGAAATTACTGGGTTTTTTTTACAACACTCGCAATGGCTTTTCCAACAAAAAATTCAGTGCTTCGCTCCAGTGTTTGGTTTTTGTGCTTTGTTTGATTTGTCGAGTACAATTTTGATACGTGGCTCTGGTACCTGGAATATCTCCCGCCCGTTTGGTTTGGTTTACGATCGATAACCGAGACTTCCAGAAGATTCCTAATCTTAACTCAAACTCAAACATTGTAGGACGCATCAAGAGTTGAACTGTCGATTTGGACATATGGCATTGATGGACGCAACGGGATAGATGGACGGATTTGAGATGGAAATGATATCTGAGTTGGAATTATTTAAATCTTGAAATGAATCTTGAAATTGGCGAAAATACTTCAGAATTAGAGACCTTATCCATGCAGTTATAAAAAAAATTATATTGAGAGTAGATCACCCTAATCCCAATCCTGATAATTGATTACTCTTCTGATATTGGACGCTCCACGTCACACACGCTGCGCGTTGCGTTGACTTGACTTTCTTGACTGAGACTGGCGACCCTGAACTGTAAGCTGTCTCTGACCCAGAACATGTGATCACATAACCCTTCCTTTCGTTCTATCGCGCGTCCACCCCCCCCTGGCTAGGTCAAAGAGATCCTATGCAGGTACATGATCAATGGAGGCTGCGGGGAAGAGGTTTTGTATACACTATGACGGATGGATGTGATGTGCGATATGTTTTGGGCCATGGTATAGATATGGACAGCTCATCCGTCTAGCATTAGAATCTGAATATTGCATTCGGTATCTCTAAGAGAATAATAGTAGTGGGTAAATGCGTGTGCCGATGTAGAATCGCTGTTACTTGTGCATTGATAATAGTATTGCATCCGGTTGTTGCTGGGTTCTTGTGGAGTTAAAGAGTGCTTTCATTCTATAAACCTTGAACATTTTCGACGCTAGATTCTTCTCAAAATGAGAACTAGTAGCATTCGACTATTTAATAGAAAATAAATCAATCTCACTATACTATTGTTTCGCCTTTCGTTTTTTTAAGGTTGTGAATGTGGCCCTTAAAGTTAAGCCAGACCCGAAAATCTCAAAAACGAGTGATATTCTATGCAGCACACCACGGACCCACTTGGGGTCGGTTGGTGATTTTCCGACGCTACCGCAAATCTTCCGGAAGATGACAGATTACGCTTGCTCTATCGCTCGCATCAAGACATCCGTGACTTGTGAAGCGAGCGAACGAGAGCTCTCGCTCTGTCGCTCTCACCCTATTCCACGCTCCACATTCCACACACACCCCTAACCCTAGCTTGGGTTTGGGCTGAGTTTGAAATCAAGTAACTTGTCTCAGAATCTCACAGAAATTCTTTGCCTTCCGCGATAACCCCCTCGCTCTCCCTCGCACCTCTCGCTCGCTCTCTCACTCACCTCGCCTTACCTTCTCTTCCTGGTAGCTGGCAGGAAATGATTTCCTGGTCTGCGTATGTACCGACTCGGGGGCTCACCGCTTAGGTGTTCGCTCCACCTTTCCTTTTTCTTTCCTTTCTTTGTTGTTGCTGCTGCTGCAAAATGCAGGAGGGAGACACGACACAACACAGGCGCGGAAGGGGGCAAAAAAAAGATCCCTTCACTTCTCTTCCCTTACCACGAGAACGAGACGCGTCGTCTCGCGTGTCTCCTGCTGGTATACACTCGCTGCACTAGCAGTGAGTGAGTGATTGAGTGATTGAGTGACTGACCCTGCTGGTGGGTCAGCGACCACAACCAACGCCCCTTTCTTGTGCTTTCTGGTGCCTGTGCTTCTTCCAGCCTCCTACTTTTTTTTTCTTTCTCTTCCTTCTTCAACCTTTTTTTTCTTCCTACCCGGGGTGCGGCGGAGGGACACATCGATATCGACATCGACATCACGCCTGCCCCAGTGCCCAGTGCCTACCCACCTCCCCCCCTTGCGTTTTTCTTGCTTCTAGACTGCATGCTCTGGTTTCTGGTTTCTGGTTTCTGGCCTTACGTTGTGCGTGTGCAGGTTTAATTGATCCAGTACCACTTGCTTGGCCTGGAGTATGTGCTTTGCAAAAAAAAAAAGAGCCTTCTCCTCGCCGCGGCATTAAGTGCTCGAGTATGTAGAGGGTAAGGCTTTGTACAGCAGCTTGATTGATTTGATGTTGCTGTGTAGAGCCGTGGCGATGTCGGCTCCCTTCCCTTCCCTTACTCTCTTCTCTCCTCTCTATATCTCTTCCTTGCTTGAGGCTTGATTTAACTTTGGGTGCGATGTTTGGTTTGACGCGCCCATTGGATTGCGCTGTTCTTCAGTCCTCCTCTCATCTCCTGGCTGCTCAATGGGAAACGTGATTCCCTTTGAGAAAAGCACCCTTCTTTCCTCTTCTTCTTAAAGGAAGGGACAGCACTGGGTCCTCGTGGAATGTAACTGCCAATGTCAACCAATTACCCGTCGGTATTTTGGCGTGGTTTGTTTGACAGTGTAGAGCCACCCCCTTGTCATATCGTGTAGGCCAAAGAGACAAAGAGCGTCTACATATGTTACCTACTCTGCTCAGTGATGGTTCACCCCCCAGTTATGTATGCGGAGCACGAGCACATGGAGGGCCAAACGCACGCGCAATCTCGGAAGTCCGGTCCTTATCTATGATCCTCCCGCTCGCTCGAGGGGGATATGTTGCCGCACATATCGCGGGGTCATGCCTCGAGTTCTACCTGGTAATTCGTGTTGGTGTGCTAGGACGGTTTGATTTGCGGGGGGGGGGGGGGGGGGGGGCGGAGAGAAGGCCGTAGTGGGTTAATGGTGTTTTGTGTTTTGGGAAGCGAGTGATGGGTCGTGCAGGTAATGCCGCAGACGCGACGGAGGGGATGGATGGGGTTGTTTGGCTCTGTTTTGGATTCGTTCGTCTATGGTATCTATAGGAATACATGGAGCTGATACAAATATGTACGTTGTCCCCCCCATCTGAAATAGGAGAGCGAATAACTCCGCTGATGGATATGTGGCATAAAAATGAATAAAAAAACGCTGCCTAAACACCAACAGACAATGCTTTCCAAAGTGACCTTCTAATGCTACAAAACTCGCTCTATATGAGTACAATCACAAAATGGGGGGGATGCTAACTATATCCTCCTCCAAACTCATATCAATGCGTGAAGGACACTCCCTTTAAAATAAAGAAAAATACCGAAACAGCCCTTATATATATACTTTAGAGAGGCTGTATGAAATATATGCAAAGAAACAAAAAGAAAAAAGGGAGTGCCAAAAACCTTTCAAAAAAATAATGCCAATACTTTCCAAAAGGAACGGGCCAAAAAAGGGTTTTCTCCAAAAAGGAATCACGGTTCCTCGACATAAACCTTCCATCCCTCCTCGCCCTCAAACCATCCTCTGGCCAAAGCACCACCGCTCTCAGTTGGCTGGCTGAAGGCTACCAGGCCCTTCTCGACACTCATACCGTATATAAAGGTGCTCCGAGAACACTCAAGCAGCTTCCTTGCAATGCCCTTTCGCCTGCTAGAGGAGCATGTCCAGATGCGGGCCACGCCCATGAGCGCCTTCTGCGGCGTGGACGAGATCGAGACCGACGAAGAAGCAGAAGTAGAAATCGCTGAGGGGGGCTTACTATCGTTGTCTTTGGTCTTGATCTCGCCTTCTTTCCCCTCTAGCTCCTCCTGTTCCAATTGCTTGGTGGGAGGCTCATCAAGGACATAATAAGCCCTCTTGATCCTCTCGACCAAAAGCAAGCCCACGCACTTCTTCCCATGCACATAGACATACACCCTAAACCTATCCCCGCCCTCGCCGTCCTCCTGCCACAGCACCGGGTCCGCAATCTCAGCGGCCCCCAGCTCGGCGTCCACCACCTCCATTACCTCCCTGACCTTCCTCTTCTCTGTCGGCGCGCTCTTCCGGTCCACGAGCAGGACCTTTACGTCCTCCTCGCCGCCGCCGCGCCAGACAACCTTCCCGCTCTTGCTGGTGCAGGAGAAGTCGACGCCGCCGACAGACTTGGCGTGGAAGCGCTTGTGCAGCGCTTCGTCGTCGGGCGTGCTGGGGTGGTAGGACATCCTGCATGTGCGGCAGGTGATGCGCAGCGCCTGCCCGAGGTCGATGATGGACTGGGTGAGCTTTGGCTGCGGCGGGGGCTGCGAGCGCTTCTTGTGTTTTGCGGGGGGCCGTGAGGTCTGCGTGGAGCGGGTTAGGAAGGTGAATGCTGACCTCCTGGGCGGAGGAGAGGAGGGCAGCGGCGAAGGGGACGATGGCAGCGAGGATGGTATGGGGGCATCTTCTTCTGCGTCTGAGGTTGGCGGGAGGGGGGAGGATGGTGGTGGGCTGGTGGAGGTGAGGCGGCGGCGCTTGGTGGGGTGGGAGGTGGGCGCTTTGCGGGAGTAGGTTGTTTTGGGGAGACGGCTGTGGAGGGAGAGGGGAGGGTTAGCACTGTTGGAGGTCTTGTCTGGGGAGGGAGGGGGGGAATACCGTTTTGTGGTCGGATCGGACATTGGTGGTTTGTTAGATCACGGTGAGCGTGTAGAGTGGTTTTTGCAGACGCGACGTTGGGAGACGCGTTGGTTGGTGGTGTGCGTACGCCCCCGGGGGGGGGGGGAAGGGGGGGTTAGTGCGTAACAACCACGCACGCACGGGCTTAAAATGCTTGACGATGATTGGCTGTTGACTACCACTATGGTGAGCATGTAATTGATTGCAACTATTGTTTGCGAATGGCTGATACTCGTAGCCGGAAGTGAATGATAACGTAAACATAAAGGCAGGTCAACAGAGCCCATTTTGTTGATTTAATATTCATGGGGCAATGTGTATCCTTCTTGAAATTCGATATTTCTATCACTGACCTCATGAGAAGTACCCTGCCAAAGAAAGAGGGTATAAAAACGCTATACAAGTACTCCCATGACTGGGAACTGGAGCCATATAAGGAAGGGGGGAAAAAAAGATAAAACGAAGCTTTAAAGAGTGAAAGGAACCCAACCAAGTCCTGTAAATTCTGGCTGGGCCTAGTGTTGTTGAATCAATGGGTCTTATTATGCCTCTAGAACCGAAGATTTAGTTTCGTGAGGGGTAATGTTTCCTTCACCAAGAGCTCAGGGACATGTCTCGTTATTCAAGGCCACTTTACCACTTTTATGGGACGGACGTTCATGGATCGTTAGTAGCTAGGTTATACGTTTAATGTGTTCAGGAATATATAATGTGACCATGAGAAATATGATTGGGGAACAGAGAAGGAAATATTGAACTATATACTTGTGTAGTGAAGAAATTGAGGAAGTATAAGAGATTTAGAAGATGAAATTCAAGAAACCAAGAATATAGATTTCCTTTGGATAGTGTGGTAGTACCATGCCAAGTGCCGTATCTCCCTTAGGACGTAGAGCCGGGTGATCCACTCTCGTGCTTATAAAAATTAGTGATGGGGGTGAGACTGCTCGAGAACGGACTCTGTTCTCATGGGCTTATATATGGGAACGTTACAACCATATCAATCGAGTCTGGTATCGAATATACGCCGCCATAAAGACTTGAATGGCAAGCACGGCAGGCAAGTCAGGTTATAAAAACTCTAAATATCAATAGGAAAAGGGTTGACAGTTGGAGTGTTCTCACCAGAATGACCCACTTCTTCCCTTAATTGTACTAGTACAACCTCGTTTATGCTAGTTCACACCGTCTTGAGACCTTTCTCTCAATATTAAGACATTCTTGAGACTATAAGTATCAAGACTAAAAGTTTCATGGATTTTTCGAGAGGTCTCAGGCTCACTCCCATCACTACACGAAATCTGAGCGATTTCCAAAATCTTTTCAAGGATTGCGAGGTGTATTGTGATTTTTTCACCATTCCGACCGCGGGCTGTGATGCCAGTACCATTTTCGAGCAGAAGCTGGATGGTTTCTAACGCTCTAAATTCATGGTCTAAAATGACAGAGCGGAAGGGCCTTCTTTGTATGGGAATCAGAGAAGGTGCTGCCGTTAGCCTAGGCACTATATAGAACCGTTATGGTATTTACATACTCATACTCGTGCCCTATAGCAGCCATAGATGCTTTAATTATATAGAGAGTTACCAAATCTATGGAAGTTCTTCCTGCGTTATTCCGAGTTGAGACATCCGCCCCGTTCTCGAGTAAAAATCGAGTCTTTTCTACGTCTGCCAGAGCGACTGCGAGGTGTAGAGCGGTATTTCCATCAGTACTAGTCTGAGCTGAGGTATCGGCCCCGTTATCGAGTAGAAGCTGGACAATTTCGATAAATCCTCTATAGACAGCAAGATGTAGTGCGGTATATCCTTTTTCGTTACTAGCTGAGATATCGGCCCCGTTATCGAGTAGAAGCTGGACAATTTCCACGGATCCGTCAGAGACAGCAAGATGTAGTAGGGCATTTCCCCATTTACTACTAGCTGAGACATCGGCCCTGTTATCGAGTAGAAGCTGGACAATTTCCACGGATCCGTCAGAGACAGCAAGATGTAGTGCGGTATATCCTTTTTCGTTACTAGCTGAGGTATCGGCCCCGTTATCGAGTAGAAGCTGGACAATTTCCACGGATCCGTCAGAGACAGCAAGATGTAGTGGAGTATTTCTCCATTTACTACTAGCTGAGATATCGGCCCCGTTATTGAGTAGAAGCTGGATAATTTCCACGGATCCGTCAGAGACAGCAAAATGTAGTGCGGTACCTCCCCATTCAGTACCAGCTGAGATATCGGCCCCGTATTCGAATAAAATCTGGATAATTGATATATTCTTATAGGAAACTGCATACCTGAGAAGAGGGCTTTCACCATGTCTTCTATTTATTCGGGATGCGTATTTGGGCGTTTTTAGTAAACCTCGAACTACTTCTGCTTTCCCCAACCTGACTGCGATAAACAGTGAGGGGGTTCTAGGATAAATTAAATTAGCGGCACGTTCCCTGCCTGGGCCTAAGAGCCTGAGCAGTGGCTCCGTCAATAATCCCTTGTTGTCTCGACAGCCTCTGATATGACGATGAGAGTTTCCTTTTACATAATATATGAATCGATCTTCTGGGGGCCTGTAGCTGTTCTGTGATCGGGAAGCGTGGAGCAGCGCGGGAGTAGACTGACGATTAGTTGTGGATCCGTCGAAAGAGGCAGGTTTATTTCCGAACACATCCAAAGAAAGATACACTGTACACAGGATGGAGAGTTCTAAAGCCAAATCCTGGCGTGCAGGGACTATCGAATTTTCCAGAAGGTATCCTGGACTGTATAATGAACAAGCCTGACCTCATCGTTATCGTCGATGGTCAAAAAGTTGGTGCAAACGTCGAGTAAGGTTTTGACGTCGGGAAGATCCTGCTCATCTATAGTTGTTTGTTTTGAATGCGCTTCTAAAGATACTGCTACTTGAAATTCTTGGATCTGAAGTGCTCGATAAGCTCCGACAACCCAAAAAAGGGCTCTCATGGCCAGGTCTACGCAATTTTGGGGTTGAGATCGGAGGCGTTCCATGGCTCTGTCATAAGTTTGATCTAGTGGCTTTCCTTCGGTAGAATAAGAGGAAAGATTGGATTTCTTGAGCTCCTGAAGGATCTTTGCGGTCGTAGGCTGCTGACATAAGTGCTCGATATGGAAATGAACAAGCAGAAACCTGGATTTCTTTAATATTAGTACCAGGAGGATGGAGGGAGTATGGAACTGCAAGTAGTACTCACATTCCATCGGAACATTTTGTCAGCTCGGAAATAATCCTGTCCTTGATTCCTCCATCCCTTACAAGGCGTTTAGCTCTAGGGTTTTCCTCTATCTTTTGTTCAATGTAATTGTGAATATCTTGATCGTTTGCAGAAAGCTTGAGTTTCGTTGATTTGTCGTCAAGGGAACTCTGAATATCCTCAGGATATTCACGACTAGTCAAGAACAAGCTAGCTCCGTCATCTCCCATCCTATGGAACAATGGTAACAACTGTAAACGTTGGGAACTGGGGTCGCATTCGTCCAGTGCGTCGCAGACTATGATAATTCGATTGAATGATCCAGAGCCCGTAATTGTAAGGAAAAAGCCGTATAGATCTTCAAGGCCCGGTCTTCGCTTTTCATGGTGTAATCTATTATACATTTCTATGATTGGTCGAGGAAGATGTGGTGTTTTACAGGCGAGTTGTTTCACTAAGCTAGCAAGAACCTTCACTGGTGTCTGCCGGCTCTGGTCTTTGAAGTTGAAATATATATGTGCTACTCCATAGCCTGCGGCTGGCGCCTCGAATTCAAGGTAGTCGATGACTTGAGAACTGTAATTAACTCGGCCTAAGAATTAGTATATATATATGAATAAGATTGATAGGGTGAGATTAGTCTATAAAGATGAAATTCGGGGTGTGTATGATAGAAAAGTTTTTCCTGCACCGGCTGATCATGAAGGATTTACAACAGTCAGTAAGCACCATCGGAAGGTTTTTCACCCATGAGTACGTACGAATACCATAGCCCCAAAGAATTCTGTGTGGATCAATCATTTCGATCCAATTACGAAATTCATTTCTCTTCAAAATCCAGTCTCCTGTCTGTGCTTTCCTCCTACTACTTATGTTTTCATGCACCGTGCGGAAGTCCTCTGAATAAAGCCAATCAAGGATTTCAGTGCGTTGTTTTTCTAATTGAAGTGTTAATAAACAATAAACTACTACCGAGATATCAAGTACAACAGGAATATCTCACTATTCTGAATAATATCTGCCTCTCTTAAATTCAAATTCTGGACTATCCTCAAGTCTGTAATGTCTTCTCTGATTTTCGTAACGCTCATTCCAACCCCTTGAACATTCAAGTCAACTGTCTGCATGCGTCCGTCAATTCCCTGGATGTGTGTATTGATTGCACCGACATGGGAAGCCGTAGTCTTTACAAGAGATCTAGTTTAAGTCAGATTAAATCCTGGGTTTGGCACACGGCCTACAACCAATAGTGCATCAATACCACGAGATACTTACTGTTGATCAAGACCCATGGCAAGTATAAAAGTGCTTTTGAGTCTTTCCATCCGTACGAGGTGATCCATTATATCGCTTTCCTCAAAAGGCCACTGAAGCCTGGTTCGTATACTTCCCCAAAGGCCCGAATTTTTTTCTTGGTCTCAGTTTGTCTTGAAGGTTTATCATGTCTGCGAAACATTGTTGCAGTGGGCTATCGAGTCTCTGTAGTAATCTTGACTCATGGTTTTGTGCACAGATGTGTATCTCGGTGAGTATTTCGATTAGTGATTTGAGTTCGGCTGTGAGCTCTCTCAAGCACTCTGGTGCTCGCTTTGCGCTGCTGAGGTATTCATATCCCACACAAGCTACTGATGTTGCTATCTGTATGACTGCAATGACACTCGCTGCAGTGCTTAAACCGTCGGGCATGGTTGGTATCTTGACGTTGTATCTACTTAAGTCTTCGTAGACATGAGGCTGAGTTGAGTAACCATACATACATCTATGTAGCTTAGAACCTATCAGATGAAAGCACGTTTAGTTGCTCCAGCCTCGTATATGATCATGCCGGAGCCTCAGGTCTGGTTATGAATATAGGATGTAGCGATGAGGTATATTAGGGACGTTAGGCGAAGCACTTAAAGGTTTAAGCTTTGAGCCGGCTTACCGTTAATTAACTCTAACCCCATTCTTCCCAGCCGCGTTTTGGTAGCATAACGATAATATTTCTAGGACAATTGCAACTGCATTTAATTAGGCTAGGAGGGGGATTCCGATTGACACCCGGGCTTAAATCCTTAACTACCAATTGTGAGGGGAAGATCCACCAAAGCTCTTTAGTCTTGGACGCTTGGTACGTATTAACTCCTACGAATTTATACTGGTACCTAGCCTAATACGGAGTCTAGTACGTACGAACTCAGCTAAACTACACAAGCTACCAGTAAGCTGGCTACATGTAGCTACAGGCCCCGGAAATTCCGTTATCGGAATAACACTGCTTTCTAACCGAATCACACTCCATGATTAATGCCAAACCAGGCTCTGAAGCACCAAGTGAGTGAGGTACCGAATCAAAATCTATGAACTAATTTAATTACTAACGATGGCGGGTTATTTCACCTACTAGGGGTACCACCAGGATACACTTGGGCAACTTTGGGGTACTACAATCTCTCCTGTGAGTAGTACACAGGTATACTAGCAGTAACGGCTCCCTGTCCTTAGCTGAATGACCAAAGCTGAGAGTGATCGATCATGATTCGATCCGGGTGGCCCCTTTCGCTTTGACAAATTAAACACACAGGACCTCCAGTTACATTGGGAGACGGTCTGAAAGGATTCGAGTGGGCAAATAAGCTAACCAGTTCACTGACAGTGAGTTCGGATCGAAGGCATTGGGCCTCATCAAGTCTGAGGAGAATAAATCTTCAAGGATATTACGTACTGGATATCTATCTGGCGAAATACCTCTTACAAAATCAAGGCGACAAGACAACCAGCTGGACCTTCGACTATCTACTACGAGATACTAAAAGCCAACGAAATTACCCATGGAGGCTTATCATGGGCGGAACTACATGTACGTACGGTTCAGTATGGGAGCTTACAGAGCACATATAGCTAGACCCACAACTCGGCCCTGCTATATATACCAAATCTAGACCGGCTCTAAAGCACCTGAACCGCACCTAACCTCCAAAAAAACTCGGAATATATTGCCTATATACACACTCCCCCATCACGCCTTCCCCACACCACCCGCACTCCTCCAGTTCACAAAGAACCTACACCTCTCCCCGCGCCGCATCCTACACTTCTCCATCCCCACATCGTAGCACCGCCGCCCCTCGTCCGAGAGGTTGTCTGGGTCCGCCCCAAATAGTGCGCCGCACCCGTCGTCGGCCGCTTCTTGACTGTGGCTTGGTTAGCTATGCGGGTGGAGAGGGAGTTTTGGGGGGGGGGGGGGGGGGGGGTGTGGTACAAGCACTGGTAGCACTTTGTGATGCGGGAGGTGTGCGAGGGCGTGACGCGCACGTTGAGAGACTTGAGGTATTGGCTGGCGTCGGAGATGCAGTGGTTGTACTGGAGGGGTGTTAGTGGAGTGTTCTGGGTGCAGTAGGCAGAGAGGGGGGATGGGGGAGACATACAAACTGAAGATCCTCATCACACCGCGGAACTGCAGCAGATTGCACAAGACTGCACGTCATGAGGGAGAGGAGAATGCTGCTGATCTGCATTGCGGAGACTTCGTTGGCCTAACTGGAGTGAACCGTTAAGATATCGACTGGTGGAAGGAGCGGCAGTGAGCGGTTTGCGAGATTGATGCCCGTTGAACGTTCTGGAAAGGATGGGTGTGCATGGCGTCTTATATGCCAGAGTACTCTAGAGCCCTCAGTTCCCCCCTCCCAGGTGACAGGTGAATGGGGTCAAAACGGAGGTCGTGATCGATGTCTATGGGCTATTACTGGGGTGTGTTTTTGTGATATGTGCCCGCCCTAGGTAGGTATCCCACGGATGTTTTACATACTGGGGAGTGGAGAATATTTGGGTCCATGGTTTTTTTGTCTGGCCCGGCTATCAGGTTGTGCATGGTAATAGTAGTGGATCTGGATAATACCCTCTACATAGCTCGAGCTCTAACTCTAGATCTGGAGCTGGCTGTCTATTTACGTCCTGATCATGATCACGACCGCTTCTGTTCCTGCACTTGAGATCGAGGGTCAATTTGAGTAGACATCTGACCAGCTACTAAGTGCCCTTAAGCTCGCTGTCCAGCCATAAGCTTCGTTAATTGCGCAAATAAGCTATAAATGTTTAAGCACTTCTTGCATCCTCCTAGCTCAAGTAGCTAGCTGTATGTAGCGCTGAGCTTAGAAGAGAGACGCCCAGTGTGATATTCAGGGGTGTAGTTCATGTAGTACCAAAGAAGTACTGACGGCTTGTTCCGGCAATGCTTATTTGCGCACACTACAAAGCTGCAAACTCATTGCTTAAACAGTGCTGTTTTGCATGGAGTCGGGATACCTATTCCTACCTCAACTCGCTGCGCCGAAATTTGATGTTTGCCGGGGAAAAGCTTGGTCTCGGGGGGTAGGGCTGGATTTGGGCGGGGGGATCGGCGGCACGTGATGTTCTGGAAGGAAGGTCTCAGGTGCGGCGGGGTGTGGAGTGTGGAGGGGTGTCTGTGTGCGGAGGGTATCTGTGTCTGTGTGGTGCTTGGACGGCTGCTGAGGGTTGTGGGCGGGTTACATGTACTCAGCTTCACGGCGATGGAACACAGGCCCGTGACTGGCAATGATCGTTTGCCATTGCGGATCGCAGAGAAGAAGATACTGTACATACATGCATACATCATAGCGAGCCTCCCAATATATGTACAAGCAACCAAGAAAGCACGCAGCAAAGAACAGAAAACAGGAGAAAGAGAGAAAGAGCAAATCAGTCAAAGTCAGAACCAGAATCACTTGCGATCACTCGTAAGCGCGCAGCTGCCCATGTCCAGCTTCGTCGCCGGCGCACCCGGCGAGATGTCAAAGTCAAAGATATCCATCGGTATGCCCATCGTCGTGCACGCGTTCGGAATCTGCATTTCTCACTGATTAGCCCCTGCCGCAACAACAAAAACAGGGGAAAGGAATCATTTCTCACATCGACAATCCCCGCCACATGCCCCTCGACCGGCGCACACGACAGCAGCAGATAGATCTGCTCGCCCGAGTATCCATACCTCTTCAAATACTCAAACACCCTCAGACACGTCTGTCTATACGCCACCGTCGCATCCATATAGTGCTGCTTGCCCTGCTCGTCCACACTGAAGCCCTCAAACGTCAGCATGCGCCCCGGCCCAAACTGCGGCTGCACAGGCCCCGGCAGGAAGATGGGGCTCTTCATGTCCAGCTCCGCGATCCCGCCCTTCATCAGCCCGAACTTGAACGTGATGACACCGGCCATCTCGATGGCCCCGCAGAAGCTGATCTCGCCGTCGCCCTGGCTGAAGTGCAGGTCGCCCACGGAGAACTTGGCGCCCGGGACGTGCACGGGCAGGTACGTCTTGCTGCCGCGCGACAGGTTCTTGATGTCGCAGTTGCCGCCGTGCTCGGGGCGGCCGGGGATGGTGCGCGCGCCTTCGCGCCCGATCTTTGCTTTGAGGTCGCCTTCGGCGGAGCCGGCGTGGACGCCGTGGGGCTCGGGGAGGTTGGCGACGACGCGGTCGAGGTGGGTGGAGGCCGCGACGAGTTCGCTCTCGCGGCGGTTCCACTCGGCGAGGATTTCGGGGGAGGGCGCGCAGCCCATGATGCCCGGGTGGATCAGGCCGGGGAAGCGGACGTGGGGGATGTGGCGCGAGGAGCAGTAGATGCCCTCGAAGTCCCAGATGGCTGTTCGTCATCCATTGAGTTAGCAGGCGCGGGGAGAGAAGGGAACTATAGAGAAAGGGGGGGGGGGGGGGAATACCCTTCGCAGCCTGCGGATAGTGCTCGTCCAAGAACCCGCCACCGTTCTTCTTGTCAAACACGGCCGTGAAGCCCCACGGCTGCTCCTGGAACGGCTGCACGTCCTGGATCTCGACGACGAGCACGTCGCCGGGCTCGGCGCCCTCAATCTCGAAGGGCCCGCTGAGGAAGTGCACGCACGAGAGATCGACGTTCTTGACGTCGTCGGCGCTGTCGTCGTTCTTGATCTGGCCGCCGGTCCAGTCGATGCACTCGATCTTGACGGCTTCGCCGGGGACGATCTTGCCGACGGTGGGGACTGCGCGGGTGTTAGTAGGAGGATTGGGAGGAGGGGGGGAGGAGGGGAGGGGGAGAGGTACTGTCGGGGTGCCATCTGTTGTGGAGGCCGGGCTGAGAGGGCGCAGGCGCCTTGAGGTCGACCTTGAGGGCGGTTCTGATGGCTTCTTTGGGCATTGTGGTGGTGGGTAGGTGTGGTGTATGGGTTCTGGAGTGTCGAGATTATCTGTTGGAGATGCAATTGAGATTCCAGGAGGGTAGCTGGGGCATTTATAGACGTCTCCGCCAGCCCGGGTGCCTGCGGGGGAGCCGCCGTCATGCTAAGGCCTGGCTGGAACCTCTAACTGGCCCGCCCCGTGTTATGTTCGTCCCATCCGAGGGATGCCGGGCTGCAGTGAAGCTATCGAGAGGTTTGGGAGCGCCGTTAGGTTGTTCGCAGTTAAGCACGGGGGGGGGGGGGGGGAGGAGCCGGGAGCCAAGCAAGGGACGGCACCGGAGGGGCGACTATCGACGGTGATGATCAATTGGTTGCGGGGTATCTTAGTAAACGCTTTGGATCTTCAATTGTCACTGCCGTATGCAATTTGTCTCTCTCTCTCTCTCTCTCCGGCTGTGTGGTGTATGTACGAGTAGGTACATGTAGACTTCTTTCTGATAGCAAGAATGGGGGTGGGCATCTTCGCCGGAGATGGCATCTCCGGGGGCATTGCATCGCACTGCTTCTGCGGATGTGTCTATGTAGAATGTGGTACAGGAGAGACACATATGCATATCGTGAATTCGGGAATCCCACTTTCGTTGTGCACTCGGGCGGAGGGGAGCGGCGGCGGAGTGATGTCACAGCCAACGGGGACGTCGGGGAGGAAGCCGATGTGCGGGCTGGCTGTGGATTTGTGGATTTGTGGATTTGTGGGTTTGTGTTATCGGGTTATCGCTTATCGTGCACAGGCCGTCTTATCGGCAGCGGATGTCAATGATTGGGGCTAATATCAGTAACTGAAATGGAGGGAACAACATGAAGAAGGGGTTACATTGACATTGGCGAGGTGCCGATGTTAGTGGGCTTCAATTGAGTGCAATTGAGTGCAATTGACTCTTCAGTAGAGAAGATATTGGTCTTCTCGCAATTGGAGAGACTCTCGCAGGTACTGTACTGAACGGTCCCTGCCAATACCGCCGGCTGTTATCGCGATATGCATGCACTCCACAGATCAGCTCCGCATGCGCTACTAATTGCTGTCTGTCTTATCAGCCCGTCAATCCATAGAGTAATGTAAAGTAGGCACAGAAGGTAGCACAACGGGGAAATGGAAGTTTTCTCTTTGTCTCCTCATGTCTCTCATGTTGCTTCTGCTTCCACCGACGTATCCCCTAGGTCTGAATTACGAATCACTCGAACGCTGTGGGGTAGGCTAGCTAAGACACGTTATATACAACTTACAACTTACAACTTACAACTGCTATGTTGGTTGTAACTGGTTAAGCATGTGTGTTAATTTGGAGATGCTATAAAGTTAAGCTGCGGTACCGACTTGATCCAATTATCACTCTCGTCTTCCTTCATCCGAGCATAGCATCCAGAGCAATGGAACCTGATATATCTCCCCCGAGACCAATACAGGCCCTAGATAGCGAGACCTCGATCACCAAAAACGCGTGACGTGACAACACTCTGATCTCCGGATCCAGCACGTGCTAGGCAGCTGATCAACGCCCGTCTCCACGCAGCAAAGCCCTCTTGGAAGCTCTAGGGGAGAGAGCGGGATTGTGGTACGTGAGCTCTCGTATCTACTCTAGAGTACTCTAGTTGCAGATTGCAATTGAGCTATCCCATCACACCCGGAGCCCGGAGTCCGTATACGAGCTCTCGGGGATAGTGCACCGGGAGAGACCGGATGAACATGTTCCCTGAGCTCTGTTGGATTCCGACAAGGAAGGGCGCGGCGTCTAGGCTAGGTGGGGGCCTCTAGGGTATATAAAGAGGGCCTGGCAGCCCCAATTGGATGAGGTTCTGCTCTAAGTGAGACATCAGGATAGGTGGTAGGGTAAGTGCGCTCGCTCACCCTACTCACTCTCCATACTGCTCTGCTCTCCTTCTTCTTCTACCTAGCTTACGATGGATGTCCCGGTCTGTCGGTCTGTCTGCACTGGGAATCATCACATGACGCGACGTCGACGGGCAGTGTCGATGTTCCTGTATGTACTTAGGCGAGAGGACATGCCAGATCTGAGACGATGGACGGCTGGTCGGTAATCTGTACTCTATCTTTATATGGACGTTGATTGTATGTGCCTAGTCTTGGCTCATTACTGTCCTTCGCTGGGGACCAGAGTAAATCTAGCTATCGATCCAATGCCTACATAACCAAGGAGGACCAACAGACATTGATGCTCTCATGAGCACAACTACCCACTCACTCGAACACAGGAGGTGCAATCACTCCATACGGCCATGTCCATCGCAACACCCTTTGCCCAAATTACCTCTGACGTCGGTCAGGTCGGTCATCTGATAGAACGACCCTTCCCTTCTTTTGTGCTTCCTCTCCTCCCCTTGCTTCCATGACAGAGTCGAGTCTAAGGGTACTTTCGTACAAACATTCCCCAGTGATCACGGAACGGAGCGAGTGGGGATGGGAGGAAGGGAGGGGGGGGGGGATCCGGAGATTTATCGCCATGTGGGAACGAACCCTGCTGTAGTGCCTAGTGCGGTAAAGGTCACAGCTCACCGTCCCCCTTTCTTGCATCTCCTCCGCAAAACCGTGGGTCTTGCCGAAGTTTACCCCGGAGAAAAGTTCGAGCTCTTCTCCGGGGTGTGCCAAGTTCAGTTCAGTTCGTAGAAGCTCCCTTACTAACCTACCCTAACCTGCATGGGGTGGGAATGGACGAGACGAGGCAAGGCTAACCCAGCACGCACACACCGCACCCTTTCCACCCCAAAAGAAACAAATGCGGACAAACACTCAGGAAATAATGCCCTCAGTGAAAAAGAACCAGGTACCTACATGGAAAGAAAAGGAAAGAAAGAAAAATATAAAATAAAAAAAACCTCATGCCGATTCACGGCTTTCTAGTAAGCAGAAACAAAAATAAAAAGAATTCCAATCACTGCCTGCGCATTCAGCTATTTCGAATCGAATCGTTACTATAAGGGTCTTGGCGACGCACCAACCCTCGGTAAATCGCGATCGAGGGTTCGCGGTGGGTGTAGTGGGGTTCCCATATACGGAGTGAGAATCGATGATCATGAGCTGTCAAAAAGAAAGCTCCCCTCCTCCCCCAGTCTCCCCTCACACCCCAGCAGAAAAATAAAAATGGGAAATTGCAATCTCGATCTGCAGGGTGTTACCCTAATGGACGAGAAAAATCCGTGGACGGACTTCATTCGTCGGATTTCCTTCTCAGAATGACAACGGATGGTGAGAGGAGAATTAACAGGGGAGGCAGAGTTCTAGAGCTAGAGGGAGAGAGCCTCATGTACTAAATCCCCCCCGTTCCCGCTCCTTCCATCTACAGCTCCTCTGGAAGCTTTGTTTATTTGCTGCTACTCTGTTTCCACATGTTGATTATCTGAAAACACCTACCTATATCAGCTACAGCTATCCCCACCAGTCAAGCTCCAAAGTACATACGATCATTTCCAACCTCTAGCTTTCTTACCTACGAACCAATCATTAATCACCATATAGTTATATCACGATGGCTACAATTCACAGTCTCCCCGTCGATCTGATCCTCTTGATCGCTCACAACCTCTCCCTGAAATGCCTCCTCTCATTATACCGCACCTCCCGCCATATCCACAAGCTCCTCGCCCCCACGATCCAGGACATCGCCCTTGAGGACAAGAACGGCGTCTGCGCCCTCCTCTGGGCCGCCCTCTACGGCCACGAACCCCTCGTCCGCCTCGTCCTCGACAAAGGCGCCGCCTCAATCGACATCCAATCCGGCTCCCGCGGCACCGCGCTCCACCGTGCCGCCGGCAGCGGCCACGAAGGCGTCGTCCGCACCCTCATCGAAAAGGGCATCGACGTCAACATCGTCGAGTCCGTTGGCTCCACTACAGCACTCCACTGGGCCGCCCTCAAGGGCCACGAGGAGACCGTCCGCGTACTCATCGAGTCCGGCGCAGACGTCACGCTCCAGGACGCAGGACAGGAGACGGCCCTCCACTGGGCGGCGAGGAGCCGCCAGGTCGCCGTGCTGAAGATGTTGGTAGATGCAGGAGCAGACATCACGGCCATGGACGAAGATGGCAACACCCCGCTGCACCGCGCGGTGTGTGCGGGGTCGCGGCTGGCGGGGCCCGGCGAGGCGGTGGGCGTGCTGCTGGAGTGGGGCGCCGACATCGAGGCGAAGGATGAGCGCGGGCGAACGCCGCTGGCGTGCGCGGCGGAGGGTGCGAATGAGGGGCTCGTCAAGATGCTGTTGGAGAAGGGTGCGGATATCAATACGAAGGACAATGCCGGGCAGCAGGTGCTGCATCGCGCGGCGTGCGGCGGGAATGCGACGGTGCTGAAGCTGCTGGTGGAGAAGGGGGCGGATGGGAGTGTCATGGATGGGTGTGGGGTCAAGCCGATTGAGGTGGCGAAGGATGAGGAGGTGAAGGTGTTGATGGCGAGTTTGGGGTTGGGGGAGTAGGTGCGGCTTTTGCAATTGCGGGTTGGGGTTCTTCTGCTTCTTTTTTTTGATTTTGATTTTGATTTCTTCTGTTGTGGGAGTTTAATCTGGTTGGTTCTGGGAAGGGGCGGAGACGGCGACGGCGACGGCGGGGATAACTTGTTTATTACGTCTTTTGTAAATTATGGCTCTTCTTTTCTTTCTTTACTTGACCTTTTTTTTTTTATTCTCTTTTGTCTGTGGGTTTCTGGTGGGTTTTTTTTTTTCCGTTTCTTTTCCGATTTACAATTGATACCATTTTCTTATTTCTGTTACTTTGGAGCTTTTGGAGCCTTTTTGGTGTGGTTAGGGTTTTGTATCAACTCAATACTAGAGCTGTGCTGAGAGGCCGAGTGTACTCTACTCTAGGCCACCGGCGATATCTTGACATTGTGTCTGTACGTGGGAGCATCATATCACCTCACCTCACCACAGCCATATGGCTCTAGAAGAGTGGGGAAGGAGGGGTGGAGAGGTGGAGGGGTATGCTAGCTAGACAGCACTCTCCCGCGCATACATTATGCATGTAGAGTTCCTACATATCCGGGACGTCATCCCCCCCCCCCCCCCCCCCCCCCCCTATGTATGTGCTCTAGAGCACTCTAGCAATCTTGGATATAGATTTCACCCGGGAGAACGGGGGAGTGCAATTTAGCCATGTACTAGCTACACCTGGATTATTCTAGAATGCCGGTTCCTGTTGACACTCGATCTAGCTGGGGTGTTTGTATGCTATATGTATATCGCTCTCTCGGAAATGTCCAATCAGGCACGACCGGTTCCATGGGCGTGGGTGGTTGGCGTGCGTGGGTGCGTGGTGGTGATCAGCCGGCGCAGATGGCTGCCAGTGGTGTGGTTGACATGTGCACTAGCTGGCTGCGCTGCACTGCATGGTTGTTGACTGGGGAAATGGCGTTTTTGTTTTTGTGAAAGGGAAAAGGAATTTGTGGGTGGATTGGTGATTGGCCTGGGTTAGGTTTACATAACAGTCGACTTCCAGGACGGACGGGAGTCTTGAGAACCGGGCGAAACACACTCATGATCACTCACACGACATATCACAGGGCAAGCAGCGTACTACTGACTGATGGATTACATATTTTGGTTCTAGCTACGTCGTGGTATAGGAAAAATAAAATACATACAAACAAAATGTTTTCCAAAAGAAAGAAATAATACAAGTTGCCTTTTCAACATCACCACACACACACAAATCTTCAATTTCTACCTACGCTCCTCCAATCCCGTTCCGCCGCATAACCGACCCTCCCCTCTAGCACCTCCACCTCCGCTCAGAGCTCCTTCCTAACCTCAGCAGGCGTATAGCTCGGCGGCGGCCCCTGCGCCCCAGCTGCAGCTGCAGTCTGCGGCTTCCTGTTCTTATTCAAGTCCCTGATGTTGAGCTTATCCAGCTTCCCAAACTCGAGATTCAAAAACTCATGTTTATTCTCCCACACCACCAGCTTCTCCAACTCCTCCTTCGTCAGGTCCTTCGGCTCTGGCACCGGCGCCGTAACCTTAGTGATCAAGTACGCCGTGCTCGCCTCCGCAATCCCGTAGATCAACACACCCAGCCACGGGATCCTCGTGAGGAAGTAGAAGCCGATACCGAAGCCAAACAGGAGGCCCTCGCGCTCCCGGAACCACCGCCGCTTCTGGTCACTGGTGAAGGGGATGCGCGAGAAGTAGGGTTCGAGCAGCTCGCGCATGAGCCCGCGAGAAGCGAAGTAGCCCTGCAGGAACATGACCATCCACCGCCGTGGGAGGAAGAGGCCCACAGTGAAGATGCCGATTGCGGGTCCGGGGCCTAGCGCGCTGGAGAGCGTATAGAAAGAGGCAGAGGGGAGGACGAAGCGGCCGATACCCGGGGTGAAGGAGAGGAGGTAGACGACGAGGGAGATGCCGGCGCGGCGGCCCCAGCGTTGGAGGAAGACGAGCATGGGGTTTTTGCCGCCGGCGGGGGGTCTGGGGCGGTAGCTGGCGAGACGGGGGTAGTAGAGTTCGCGGAGAGTGCTGCGCTCTTCGGTGGAATGCTTGGCCATGTAGGTATCGTCAACCCATTTGAGGGATTGCATGAACCTGTGAATATCCGCTGTCAGCACCTGAATCTTGTCTGAACCCCGTAGACCATGACTGCTTGGACTTACATGTCGTCCAAGGTGGGCGCAATGTAGCGCATCAGCTGCATCAGGAAGAACGGGATCTGAAGAACACTCTCCTCGGCGAACTCCATGTACGAGATGAGGCTGTAGCCCGCACTCATGTCCACAAAGATGCCGAGGAAGCCGAAAATAAGCTTGAAGATAAAGATGGGCGCGAGCACCACCAGGCGGATTGCGATGCCGACGCCGACGGCGATCACAGCTTGCCGGTAGTGCTCTTGCTTGAAGAGGTCGGGGTTTTGGAGCGCACGCAAGGCTGGGTCATGTTAGTTTCTGTTTTTGCATGTGCCGGCTAATAATCTATATATATATATAGCTAGCTAGACTGGAGATATTGTAGAAATTGTACTTACCGCCCACAATGGTGAGCTGGGCTCCCCGTATAATGGCATTGAGGTCAAAGTTTGGCGAAGGCGTCGTCTTCGACATTGCTTGTGGGCGGGGCGGGGTGGGGGGTGGGGGGTGGGGGGTTGTTTGGTCTGTTTGTTTCTCTGTCTGTCTGAGGAAGAAGAGGAGGGGCCGGGTATGGCTGGCCCGGGGCAGGGTGGCTTTATGTTTCTCAGCTGTTGTTGGTGTTGCATGTTGTGGAGCGCCGGGGATACGTATGTCATGTCATCCGCCAAGCCGGAACGGCAGCCTGAACGGCGAAGGGCGCTGGAGTCACTGGATATCACTCGGCGGCGTGACGTGGTGGAGCGTGCCTGGAGCGGGCGAGAAGGAGACAGGAAGGCGAATGGGAAGGGCGGGGGGTGGGGGGTGGGATGCTTATCTGACACTTTTGTTTTGCACTTTAGGGCCCGTTTGTTGGGTGGTGGAGATTGGGCGGGTGCAATACGGCATGTACCACTTCTCAGCTGCCTGTCTCCTGTCTGACCGGCGCAAGGCTACGGGCAGGGCTGGGGATCTCGAGATGCATTACGGCTTTGAGGTTCGGGATCGATGTGTGAGCGTCGAAGTACATACGTGTATGTAGCTATGAACTGTAGGAGCGAATCAAGGGGATGGGAGAGGTTTGACTCGCAATTTATACTATACTAGCTGGTTAGCGACAACGTTAACGTGTGGTCACCTAGTTGTGACCATCTATTCTAACTATATGGCTACATGCACTACATGTATCTCTTTGCACGAGTAGCCAGGGAAATCGGACACGCTGTATACGTAGTTATCGGCAGTGTCTGCTGCTACCGACTCGGTGCGCACGGTAAGTCTGTAGCTGTCCCGATGGCCAGTCGATTCGACGGAAGAGATAAGATCTAGAGCAGCGATCGACGGAAAGACTGAGTATGAAGCCCATGTGTCTGCATTGTTGATATAATCAACTGTGCACTTTTCTCAGCCTCATGCCACACGGTCCCGTCACAATACTAGCCCGTGTTGCGTATGCCGACTCGGTGCCAGAGTAATGATACCACGGGCTCATAGGCGCCTCCAGCGTCCCTCCCTCCAGTATGCCACAGTTCGGTGCCTACATGCATGTGGATATCGGTATATCCGAAGCGAGTAGCAGTAGTAACGTGCAGAAATAGTAAGAACGTGCAATGCAGTTACCGTAGTACGCCCTGGTGACAACCTAGTACCAACTCTGGTTAGTCTGGACACTACAAATAATCCTACCAAAAAATCATTACCACCACATCATGTCACTCGCGGTGTGGTGTATGTATAATCACTTACATAAAACAGCAATACACGAGCTGCCTCATGACATAGCTCAACAAAACGAATGACAGCTCAACAAATGACATAACTCAACAAATGCCGTGATTACCACGTTAACGCGAGCCTGAATAGGTTATGCGGGGCCGGAAATACATGTAGTAATTAACATAGAATTTCTACATGTTCTGGTTAGAGCAATTGGAATAGGCGTGATACAAAGTACCTCCCCCTCAAGCTAGAGTCCGGATCCCCTCCACGACAAGAAAGAAAGAAAAAACGTGGCCAGTCACTACCACCGCATGTAGCTCCCTGACGTGCAGGTGTCAAACGTTTGAAACATTCCCGCAGAAAGCACCAATTCAAATCAACATCTCCACAAATACATGTATCTCGTAACTACCTCCTTTCCATTGTTATTCCTACCATACAATGAAAAAAAGTCAACAACAACTATTAATTCTATCCTCTAGATATAGTGCCATACATTAACGACCTAAATACAAAGTCACCACTCAACCTCACAAAGCTTTGAAGGCTTAGGGCGATGAGCAGCTTATCCCATCCCTCTAGTTTTCGCACAGCCGAAAGAAAGAAGTAACCCCACAGGAAAGAAAAAAGAGTAATTCTACAGGAAAGATATTAACAACTTACCACCAGCTCCGTCATAAAATTTAAAAAATTAACAATCCGGCCCACCACCAGCCCCGTCACAAAACCATATGTAATGGCCGACACCACCCCCACCCCCACTGCCCGCCCCGCCCGCCCCCCACTACCCCAACTCCTCTGCCCCCTCACCCGCTACGGCCCGCACCGTCACAAACCCAAACCCAAAGTCCAAGCCCAACCACTGCCCGACCCGCCGCCAAGCCCAGCAGCCACCTATCCCGGCGACACGATGCGCATCGACGTGACCGCCGACGAAAGGGTAGTCAGCGTCGAGCAATTCGACTGCCCGCAAGAACGGAGTAAAGCAGAAGAACACAAAGCAGACAATTGGGTCGAAGTGACTTCGGGCGACGGCGAGGCGGGGGAGGAGTTGTTCGATGTGATTGCGTTGGATGAGGAGAGGGGAGGGAGCAAGACGCTGTTGAAGGATTCGGAGGTGGAGAGGGTGATGTTGGAGACGGAGAGGGATGTGGAGGTGTTTGTGGAGATGGTGAGGGCGCAGGGGAGGAGGTTGGGGAGGTTGGCGAGTATGGTGGGGTTGGGGGGGTGGGTGAAAGGGAAGAAGGGGAGCGAGAAGGGAAGTGGAGAGGAAGAGGAGGTGAAGGGGAGGTGGGGCCCGTAGATAAGTAGGTAGGTAGGCTTTGGAGTGAGCTGAGGTATGGTCAGATCATGTGTTATGTGTTATGTGTTTATGAGTATATTGATTTATGCTTGTTCGTGAAAAAAGGTCCCCTGGTTACTCAACATACAGGTAGTCGGTTGGAAATAGATAAATACTCCACTTTCTAAATCACAGCAAAATGAAGAACTGGTACGAGACGAATGTAATATAATTATTCCCTACGAGAAGATTGGAAGATGAATTTAAGAACCTTGTACTTTCGAATCATATGATATCACTCGATCGCGATGGAATGAATTTTTTTTTTTGTTTAATTCATTAATCATGGGTTTATTGGGTTTTCCAAATACATTAAGTCCTGGGAATTCTTGATAGTAACGACTTCACAAAATTCTAACAACTTAGTCAACACGCGAGTAGGATCTAAGTGGAAAGGTGAAAAATTAATTCTTCCCAGTACTAGTATGTATTGAGGGATCTGTAACTTAATTGGTACTCGCAATCAAACACATGTGTTGGGCGTTGATAACCTTGCCCCCAAATCCATCCTGTGCACAAAATACTGCTTTGTAGTTGAGATGGTGGCCATGATGCGTGAGATCCGGGACAAGCATGGCCGTTCTAAGTGTAATAAGCATCCAAAACCTGTAAGACGGCTTACAATCCACAGACTGTCGAAGCGTCGTTCTTTCTTTTAGGTTTTTGATTAGCTCCAGGCCTCTAACTCTAGATTAAGATAGCTAGGTATGGTATATGGTATGTACGGTGTGTTGTGTTACAGGTCATGAATAGAGGGAAACCTGAGTAGAAAATAACGTCCTGGTAAGTGGGAGTGGCCCCCCCCCAGACTTTATCCTTGTCTAAATTCCGGAGAGCGAAGCAATCATTTAGACCTCCATCAGGGTACGTATACATACACTCTGACCGGTCTAGATAGTGTAGCTAGAATGGCCACGGAAAGTCACCAGCACAATTAACTGCAGTTATTTCAAGATAAGAAATTTTTATTTCTCTGGGGGATATCCCAACAATATCCCGGTTCAACATATACCAAATCCGCGTCCCTCATGCATAAAAAAAAAACCCCCCAACCTACGTAGCTCACATCCCTGGTAAATAAACCAGGAAAAAAATGTAAAACCCGAAATGACTGGACCCACACCAAATTTTAAAGAAAGAGTATTTCCTAATGGATTTTTTTAAAGAAGGAAGAGAAAAGAAAGAACACCCGGTCCTCATACGCATACTAACTAAGCTTCTAATAATTATAGTATGATGGGGGGGGAGCCGGAAGATCGACCAATTGGAACATGGACTCCACCTGCTGCTGCAGCCCTCGTTGCGTTCGCCTTCTGCTTGCTCTTTAGTCTTTTAATTGCAAGGATGAAAAGAACAAGACTAAGAATGTGAGAAATGGTGTTCGCAACTGCGATGTACCACGACAATCCCTAAAGCCGCCTCCCAGTCAGTATCTCAAATTGCAAATGTTGGGGGGCAAGGGGGCTTACATTAGTCGTACACAAAAATTGAAAGTTGACGACATCAGCATACAGCCCTTGCCTCTCATCTGCTGCAGCAGAGCAGGACCAACTCCACAAATCGTTCTTAACACCATTCAGTGCGCTCTGTTGCTTGAACAAGCCAGCAGAAACACCCCAGCAAATTGCATGGACAACCATATCAGCTGCCGAGAAGAAGGAAGAGACACTGTCGGTTTTGTTGGCGGAACTTTGCCCGCAGCAGTAAGAAATCATGACGGCGGCGTTGGAGACAAGTGACATGAGAGAAACACCAAGCATCATCAGAGTGGGCCATGTTTTGGCATTATCGGGCCAAGCGCTGAGGTTATCGGGCCCTTTCTTTTGCTCGGAGGTGCTGTAGTAGCTGAAGGCGGTGTTTCCCATCATCCCAAACACTGCTATGCTTATTAAAAACGCAAGGAATCTGGAGAGAAACTTCAGGAATCGAATCCTTCGTTTCAACGCCTGTCATGTCGAACACCATCAGCCTTTATCACGATGATTGCTTGTTTGAGACGAGAGGTCTACCCACCATATCCTCTTGCTGTAATCTCGGATTGTGATCCAGTCCATCCATGAGATAAGGCTTCTCATCATCTCCAACCCTCTCATACACCGTACTGTCTGATACCTTGCTCTTCCCCTTCTTCCCTGCACTGGCCTTCAAGGGCTTCAAAAAGCTATCCATCTCTAGCTCTCTAGTTACCCGATCGATCTGAGTTGATAAAAAGACGGTCTGAAAAAATATATCCTTCCTCGACGTTGACTAGCTAGCTATGAACGGTCGGTGGGCGGTTGATTAAGGGTTTGTAGCGCCTAGGCCTCCGCAAAGGTTAATCGGGGGTGCATGTCCCTTTTAACACTCATTTTTCCCCGCTGCTGACCCACAATATTACTGGCGGTTGTGAATTCAGCCCCACGGTCCCCACCCCCATTTTTGCCCACAGCATCTCGTTTATTTTATTTTTTCCGTTGGTGGTGTTTGAGAATGAGGCTGAGCGGTTGTTTGTAGGGAATGATTCGTACATAACTACCCTACTCAGAGTAACTGCTCCGCCGTCTTTGCCTGCCTGCATGCCAATTGACCAAGACGAAAGTAGTCGATCGTGCAACTGAACCAACGAATTGGGACAACGGGCGCTTTTGGGGGTGTAGGAAATAATTTTTGATTACGGGAGCCACAAAATGGACCAATCAAACGTAACGGGCACATGTCTCACCTGCAGAATTCTAAAGAAGAAGCTCAATAGCCGAACCGAAGAACCGGGATCTCGATCGTGTGTCGTACTGGAATTCAGAGTTTGGTGCTGCCGCCGCGCGCGCGCGCTTATCAACAGCATATCTCCAAACGCCTTTGACAGATTTCGGTCTACTAAAGACTTCCCCAGAACCGCTCATCTTTACTTTACGCATGCCTGCTTTAGAGCCAAGCCGGTATCCTACCATGACCATGACCATCAGGGGGAGGCACTCTACGAGCCTATGCAATCCAATGGCTCGGGGTTAGAAGTAAGCTTAATATAGCACACACTTTTAGAAATGCGATAAGCTACATGTACTCGAGCTGAGGTGGTATGTGGAGCAGTCACTCAGCCCTCTCTAGCTTGTCTCCTCACAACCGGTCTGAGACTCGGGAGATTGTCTTGGATCTCAGGCATTTGTATCTTATCGATCTCATCTTATCGCGGGGAAATGGAGCAGTGGAAAATCTCCGAAACCGAGTGTCATAAACAACGGTTTTTCGCTGTTTTTCCATCGCAAACCTCGCTTCAACGGTCGGTAAAAAGGCGGGAGAAACAGTAAGTGTCCTGGGTTCTTCGTGATGGGAATATGGCATTTAATCGTCTGTCGTTTCCTACGATACATAGACCTTTTCACAAAGGCTAAATTATAAACCGCACGGCTTCTTGTACACGAAACACAATGTGCCCCGCCGGTGACAGAAGGAGATGTTTTATAAACAGGTATCGCGACTGAATCAATATATATTACACATGGCGATGGGAGCAAACATGCGTAATATCATACCCCCTGCTGCCAACTTATTGACTTCCATGAATACTGTATCATGTAGGCACTTCATGTACCGGTGCACATGCGCACAACGACCCATTAAAATGGGATCGCAACCTTGTATGTGACCTCTCTACCAAAGGGAGGGAAAAGTGTGACGTCAACCTCGGCCAAGCCAACACCCCACTCAAACAACAGGAACTTCCATCTCATTATTTATTCTTTCTTTCCGTTTCCCGTTTTCCTTTCCCATTTCCTACACAGCGAAGTCCATTTGCCTCCGTCCAACCTACAAAACCTCCAACCAACGTTCAATCCACCTTCAATCTTCAACCTTAATCATGTCTACATGGGCCGATGTTGCTGCTAGCGGTCCCCCGCAATCTGCTGAAGAAGTAAGGGAGTCCAATGTGTGGCGCCATGATAATCACATGCTAACATCCATTCGTCCGTAGGCGTTAGTTTTCCCTTTCAGAGGAAGAAATAGAAGGAGATAATGGTAATGGTTGATACTAATGGATTTGACCAGTCGTGCGAACCCTGTCGATGAGGTTATCCCCGTAGATTCATCCGTTAGCTCTCTTGTGGACGTTGATTCCGGTGTTTCCGTTGTTGAGTCCAATTTCCTCGAGAAAGAGGTTTGTCTTTCTTTCATTCCCATGTTCCAGGCGATTTTAACACCCCCGACAGATACAGACAGAGACTCAAGCTCGCCGTATTGCTCACGAAGAGGCCGTCAAAGCAGCAGCGGAAGAGGAAAAGAAGGCGGCGCAGAAGAAGTCTCCAAAGAAGACCACCTCGTCATCATCATCTTCATCGTCTATTACAACCCAGTTCCAGAACCCAATTGTTCTCGCAAATGCTATTACCGTAGCTGCTGTCTCTGCGGCTTTGGGAATCTTTGGGTTCAGGAAGCACCAGGCTGGTCAACTTAGCATGAAGGTTGTAGGGCTAGGCGCAGCGTTTGCGGCGGCTTTCGGCACGGCAGATTACTTCGTTTCAAGGTTTGTGTCCCAGCACACGGGTTTGAGAGCCGAGAAGCTGATTTCATGCAGTTATTTGTTCAAGAAATACCCCCCAAAGAAATAGGTGGAATTAAATGGACAAGGGCTGTAGGTAGACAGAAGGGTAACAGGCGATACAAATGAAACGAATGGGGCGTTTAAATGTATGCACTGGACTACTGGTACGATGCGGGAAAGAATATCTTCCTTTGGGCTTTCCGTTTTCTCTTCTCTTCGTTTTAAATAACATTTTCTGTGCTAAATGGACTGGTATGTATTTTCACACTCCTTTTAGAGGCGAGAAGTGGGTATTTGGAAGGAACCTGTATATGACCTATCTTATTCTCTTCCGCGTCTTGCGGTTGGTTAATAAATGGAATCACGATCAATGCTCGACTTGCGTAGTAAGACAATTATCACGTGATTATACTTCTACAGAATATGAGCACCTCCTATCGGATAT